GTTGAGAACGAACGAAACGCGGCGGAGATCTGATCGGAAAAAACTTTTAGCTAAAAATAAGCAAAGAACAAGGAGAGAGAAGAGAGCAAACCTGATTTCAACAGAGTTTCGCTAAGAATGCAGAAGTGAAGAAATGAGAGTCGAAGTCCTCTTATTTATAAGAGGGTCTGGACGGTTATCGAGAGTCATCATGAGCTCGGCGACCTTTCATATTTTTTCTACATACTTTTAATCGGCCCCTTCGCATCCTCCTGCTAGGGTTTGACACGTGTCAACTCTAGTTCTGCATACACGGGCCTGGGCCTAATCTACATCATTTTTAGGCGGGAACTTTTCGTGTCCAAAATTACAATCTGGACCTCATCATCGCGCCGATCAGAAGCCCAGGTAATAATTTCATTTATATTTCTAACTCTTTTGCAGCCGACCAGAATTCACATCGAGCAGCATTTCTTTAAATTTGACAAGCAATGCATCCTTACTTGCCGAACTGGGGGGGACTTACTGTTAGAGATGAGATTCGTGCTGTCTCTAACAAGCCCGATATGAATTCTAATCGGCCCGTCTAACAAGTTCCAGGTCGGCAACATAAATGGAAATCTTCCATTTATTGATGATCCGGGGAAAAAGGAAACCCCTTGCCGACAAGAATTTCCTATTCCAAACAGGTTGAAGACCGACCTGATCGGCTATAAATGCAGGAAGTCCTCGACTTCTCAAAACATCCGAAAATCATTGATTAAGACCTAGAGCAAACTAAGCAATCAGACTGTTCTAGCTTTTGGTTTACTTTCCTTAAGAGTTTTAGGTCGGCGTTCTTATTCCGACGACCTAAACACCGTTGTATTCTATCAAGCTCCGGCTTCTTCTAATAAAAGATCTCTTTAAAACCCTCAAACCCTAGTTCTTTCGTAGATCGAACTTGAGTTTTCATAGATACTATATAATATTGTAAGAAGTGATGATCTGTATTGATACTATGAGAGTACATTTATACAGAGGATGATACACTAGGGAAAACAGAGTAAGGAAACAACGTATATTTACAATGAATGTCAACGATATGATTGGGAGATTTAAATAGATCAATTCATCCGTAATGTGTGGTGTTTCCACTAATATGACAATCTTAAGGTGGCTACGCACGCTTGTAGACCATGTGGATTCCAACATTGTTATCATGATGGTGGGGAACAAATCCGATCTAACCATTTAAGACCAGTAGGTGAGGAAGACGACCAGACTCTAGAAAACAGAAAAAATCTATCTTTCTTTTAGACATAAGCTCTTGAAGCCACCAGTGTCTAGAAAGTCCTTCAAACTGTGTTAACATAGATTTACCAAATAATTATCATGAATGCTTCGGCTGCTCAAGAAGTTAATTCCACGATTCCTGGGCAAGCAACAAGGATTAACGTTGATGACACATTTGGAGTGTTGTTTTGTTTGTAATATAATGAATGTACAATACTGTTTAAGTTAGCAATTACGTAAGATAAAAAGAGTGAAGTATGAAGTGGTGGAGAATATAAATCTCTAAAAAATGAGACATGATTAATTGAATAGATCATCAAAAGAGAACATATGTACAAACCGACTCATGTAAGAAATCACATCAATACCTAAAATTATAAAGAAGAAGTATATATATAGATTAGTTACTCCATTCACTTACTCGTTATGTTCATACATTTTTCATTTATTTTATTTTTTAGTTTTAATGGTATCAAAAAAATGTATTAATAAAATAATTAAAATAATAATATAAACTTAGAAAAATAATAATCTGCAAAAAATATTTTGGGGAATTAAAATATTTAAATAAATTTATTTAATTTATTTATTAATATTATGTGTTTTGTGTAACTAATTGTAAATTATTTGCAGAAGAAGAAAAGATACCGCCGAAATGATGTTTGCGTTGTAGACTGAAAGTATAATAGAAAAAGGATAATATTAAGGTTAATAAAACAGCCTTACGACTTGAGAATCGCTTCTCTAATGGCTGCCATCATTTTCAGCAGCAAGACAATTTAAAATGTTGTAGATTTGGGTTGAAACAACAACAACATAAAAAAAAAACATGTATTTACCTGCACATCCGCGCAGGTAGTCACCTAGTCGGTTTCTGTAGAGATAGAGAATTCCCGTCTCTCTTCATCAAGAGATATTCGAGAGGAAACATAGGGGGGCGATCCTACAGAAAATAGTGGAGAGTTTTCTGAGAAATAGTCGGACGGATCCGACGATAGTCAAGTGTGTCGTGATTCTAGCCGATGTGAGATGAGCGTAGCCGAGAGAATCCAAAAACGATCGAATGATTTTTGATTACGTTTGGATTTTTTGGAAGAAAACAGAGAGAAAGGAGAAAAAGGAGAAGGAAGGAGATTTCAGTCAATGGATGGACGAGTTTACTCGAGCGGTTGTGACAATGGTCTACAGTGATGTGATTATAGCCGAGACGTAGTGGGAATCCGTTGGGAGATGCTCAACTATTTCCGAGAGAAGCGGTTATGTCAGGACTATATCCAATAGAAACATGGATACCGACAAGATCCAAGACCGAGAGAAGTTATGAATGTACTGCGATCGTGTGTGTACTCGGTAAATGGATTATACCCGAGAGAATCACCGGAAAGAGGGATATAGCCAAGAGAATCACCAAAGGGAAAGATTGTTCGTGAGAATAGTCAACGGTGACGCAACTATAGTCGATGAGTGTTGGGAGTTGCCAAGCAGCGTGTGATTATAACCGGAAGAAAACAGTTATTCTGTGACAGTTACCGAGAGAAAGTGCATAGAGAATATCCAACAGAATGTGGGAATTAAGGGAGATTCGCAGAAGGGAAGACAGTCTGCCGAGAGAAAGTGGTATTGCCAGGTATGTTGTCAAGAGAAACAGTTCAGTTAGGAGAATCACCGAGAGATTCTACTCGGTTCATGACATCTCTCAATAGTGGTTAAGCAATTTGATCAGTGGTCGGGAGAAACGTGATTACAGTCGGAAGAAGCATGACTGGTATGGACTACAGTCAAACGATTATGGATTGGGATAGACTACGGTTGGGATAAACGTGACTGCAAGCAAGAGTTGCTTGACTGGAATGACTGGCGAGTGGAATGATCGTGAATGGGCTGACTGGCGTGCAAGGTATCAAGGATCCAAGCCGCCTCTCTTTGTTATTTGGTCATGTGGGGATAGTTGGTTGAGTGAGTAAGTAACAAGGAGAGATGTGTTATATTGGATTATTGATATGGGGACTTCGGAGAATTGGCTGATCATGAAGACTACAATTAATTCATCTGATATCTGCAAATGGCTAAAGTATTTGTATAGCTGGTTAAGTGTGAAATGAGATAATAGTTTAGAACTGTTAAGTTGATGGATTAGATGGATAAAAGCTATAAAACTTCGTTAAGCTAAGAAAAATTTAAAAATACCCAAATCTGGCCGGCCGGATAAATCTTTATTGCGGTTTAGAAATCTAGGTCAGAGCGTTTCACATACCCAATTGCAATTCAATGATCTTTGACTAGCTAGCTTTGAATATTTCTATGGCCGTAATGAATATTTTCTGTACATCTATCATCAGTTGCTAGTTCGATTCTTTGTATAGTAATGGTCGTTATGTATCTTCTAACATTTTTCCTCTATTTTTCTCAAATTACAATTCCTTCAAGAGTAAGGTGTCGTGTCACTAGCAAATATCAACCCACTTAGAAATCAAACCTAACGTCAGCCACTTTCTATCACCCTTATGATTTGGAGTGGCCATCATCTGTATTTTACATTTCCATCAAGTTTCGTAGAGTGGCCATCTTATTGTACCGTAGCTTAGCTGCAGTTACGTTTGATTGTAATTTGTTTGGTGAGACTTTTTGTGTTCAAATAAATATATATGGGTCTTATCTTTTATACGAAAAATAGTAAGACCAAATCGATTTATATAATGAACCAAACAATCCACGACTAAAGCAAAAAAGATCCATATGAAGCAAAACATCCACGACTTATAAAGCAATTAGTCAAAGATCCGTAATTATATAACTAACTAGTAAACTATAGATTTCGGCTGATAAATGTCAATGCCACTTGCATTTTATGATTAACTCCTTAATTATTATATAGATGAAGAAACAGTTTGAAAAGTTCTCTGTCCAGTGTCCAGTTGGACAACATGTGGTAATCTCTCACGCGTCGTGAATTAAATGACATAGTACAGACAGAGATACCAGAAAACGTTAATTCAATAATAACAAAATTTAGAGATGTATTTGATATAAAGATAATTAAGATGAATATCGTCAAAAAATAGTTATTACTAGGTAGTTATTGATTGAAATAGTCAGGATTATGATGATGCGCCATTTACCAAGAAGCTTTTAATTATACATATCGTTCTTTTCTTGTCCACATTTTTAAAATTTAAGAAAACAGAAATTTCTTCGTAAATTAGGTATCTTATCTCTCATATGTTACCATATAAATGTGATTTATAGCTTAACAAAAGTATAAATCATCGAAATATGACCAAATTGCTGATACTTTCCATCTATTACAACAGTATAAAGTTTAAATATTAAGTTCATAAAAACTCTTTTTAAATAATTTTAAAAGCTAGTTTAACCAATCTACAACATACAAATTACCGTTTTCGTAATTCCTTTTTTAAAAGAGTTTATCCTTCAAAATTCTGAAGATACTAATCAGTGTGTGATTTGACATATTCAGAGCTACCAAGTCAGAGTCAACTTAAGACGAACACAATATAATTCATACGGTCTTACCTTTATGGAAAAATGAAAATGACGTGAAATCGAAGGGTTTCTTTCGTGAATAATGAAAATTTGAATATGGTCATACCAAATTATTATATAAAAAGACACTCTTTATGAAGCTAGAACAAGCCCTAACAACAGATAACCAGAGCTCAATTACTAGCCTTGTGTCTTTAGTCATCCTTTTCTTCTTTTTTTTTTTTTCTCATAATCTAAACCAGCAAACAAGAAAGAAAACAAAAATGGAAAACGCTTCGACCGTGAGATTCTCTAGCTGTCGAGGAGTAGCGTTTGAGATTAAACCTCATGTGAACCCTTTCGCTATCGATAATACAACTGATCGAAACCGCAACGCAAACGATGAACGCGAGGAAACGAGCAGCAGATTTCGACTTCCATGGGATTTCATGAGAAACGCCTCAAAGGTTTTCCCTTCATCGATTCAACACTCCATGAGCCGAGCAAGTAGCCATTTCTGCGATTTGGACTCTGACTACGACGAAGAAGAAGATGCCAAAGACGATATTTACTACTTAGAAGAAGGTGGAATCAGTGAAGGAGACGAACATCACAGTGAGACGGACGAAAAGGCAATCCTTGCTTCTTCCGCAAGCAAACACAGCGAGAAACTGTCGCAACCACCGATTCCAAAGAAACGCGCTTCACGACTATCCATCATACTTCTCGATCAAGGACTGTTCACCGTTTACAAACGCCTCTTTATCGTTTCATTGTTCCTAAACGTCGTAGCTCTCGTTCTCGCAGCCACTGGAAATTTCGCTTACGCTAGAAACAGAGCGTCTCTGTTTTCAATCGCCAACATTCTCGCCCTAACTCTCTGCAGAAGCGAAGCCTTCTTGAGACTCGTCTTTTACCTAACTGTAAGCCTCCTTGGACGCTCCTTTGTCCCTCTCCGCATCAAAACCGCGGTCACATCGCTCTTACAAAGCCTCGGCGGTATCCACAGCGGTTGCGGCGTTTCCTCAGTCGCTTGGCTCATCTACTCATTAGTGCTCACTCTTAAAGACAGAGACAACACGTCAACAGCGATCATAGCGGTTGCGTCCGCGATTCTCTCTCTCCTCTGCCTCACTTCTGCGGCCGCGTTCCCTCTCGTTCGCCATCTACACCACAACGTCTTTGAACGTGTCCACAGATTCGCAGGCTGGTCTGCTTTAGGCCTTGTTTGGGCGTTTATAGTTCTGACGATTTCCTACGATCCAATATCAAGAACCTACACCGATAATCTCGGCTCGAAGCTGATCAAAACGCAAGAGTTTTGGTTTACGTTAGCGATTACCATCGCGATTTTGCTCCCTTGGTTAACAGTGAGACGCGTTCCCGTTGACGTATCATCTCTCTCGGGCCATGCGTCACTGATCAAATTCAGAGGAGGCGTGAAATCAGGGATTTTAGGTCGGATCAGTCCATCTCCGTTGTCGGAATGGCACGCTTTTTTGGGATCATCTCTGATGGGCAGACATCGCACATGATGCTAGCTGGAGCTGTCGGCGACTTCACCAAGTCCTTAGTTTCAAAGCCTCCGACACACTTATGGGTCCGTACGGTTCACTTCGCCGGTTTACCATATCTCGTTAACTTGTATGACAAGGTAGATACATTTCTCTACAACTTAGGGTTAACTAGTAGCAGATTTAACAGTTTTTTTTGTTGGATTTTTGACGGTTTTAGAAACTTCGCTATTAAGAAGATATTTTGAGAAATAAAAAATTGACTTTCAAACATTTGGATTCTTTTTGTTTTTTATTTGTTATCACTAAATTTTGTTTGTTTGTATATAATAAATTTACCACCGTTTTCACTTGAATACTGAAAATATTCCTTTTTTTGTTCACAGGTATTACTTGTGGCCACCGGTTCGGGGATTTGCGTATTTTTATCGTTTCTCTTGCAGCAAAGTAAGGCCGAGGTATATCTGATATGGGTGGCTAAAGGATTAGATGATAATTTCGGGTCAGAAATCGTTAATAGGATTAAAGATTATCCTCATCAAGACAGGGTCATAGTTCACGATACTGCGATTTTGGGACGACCAGATGTGTCGAAAATGAGCGTGGAAGCTTCCAAGAAGTTTGGAGCTCAAGTTGTAATTGTCACAAGCAATCCTGAAGGAAGTCGTGATGTTGTTAATGCGTGTAAGGCTTCTGGTGTTCCTGCTTTTGGTCCCATTTGGGATTCTTAGATTACTACTACTTTTTATCTTCTTCTTTTATATTTTCTGATGATTTATTCTTTGTCCGCTATTCAACAATGATGTAAAAATTTGTTTTTCGTAATAAGTTAATGAGTTTTATTTTTTATTTTTGTGTGCAAATAATTTAATGAGTTCATATTAAGATATACGAGTTATTAAGATAAGTGTCTGATTCATGTGCATGTAAAAATTAATCAGTTAGTTAGCTTACCATTAAAAAAAACTAATAGCCTTATCTACCAAGACTCAGTTCCCCGGACAATCGTCGCTTCGACAATCTCCCGGACACAATCAGGTTCTCACGGCAGAGATGTCTACATAAGTGACTTTAAAGATCAGAAACTTATTTGTGGATTAATATAAGTAACTTTTGCATACCAAACTTTTAGTTTTGTTAACACTTCTTTTGTGATCTTAACATTGTAGTTTTCATTTATTTAAGTTATTGGACAATCATAATAAATATTATGTACTAGGTAGCATGGACATAAAATGTAAACATGATAACATGAACATGAACATGACATGGCAGACATGGAGAACATAGTGGTGTGAAAAAGATAATATATATAAATGTGTTCACACAAACATGTCCATAAATAAAGTAGGGATGTGCATTTCGGTTTTTGGTTTGGTTTCGGCTTAGTTTCTTCGGTTTTACGGTTTATCAGTTTTACAAAAATTCAAATCATATAAAAGCCATATAAATTTCGGTTCGGTATGGTTTGGTTTTTTACGGTTCGGTCTGATATGGTTTGGTTTCGGTTTTTTGGAATTATACTATTACGAAAGTTTTTGATTCAAACTAATGGAAATAATAATAATAGATATGAATGAAATAAAACAATATATCCAAAAAATAGAACCTAAATCATAAAAAATTCATCAATAAGCATATATTTCAAAACAGAAAAACAAACAAATTATCAAATCTTTCATAATCAATAATTATAAAATAACAAATAAATCTAGATTAAAAGTTAATACCTATAACCTTGGAACTAGAACTAGAAGACTTAAATGTGAAGAAAAAAAGTTAATCACGTTTTTCTTTATTGAAAAATTAAGGTTTACTTTATTATTTATCTGTAGATATTTTTTATAAATATTATATTTTAAATTTATGAGTTAAGTTAGTAAATTATAAAGATAACTAAGTCAAATAATAAAAATATATACCTAAACTAAATTAAGAACTAGGAAAATATAAATTATTTAAAATTTAGTTTAAAAACTGAAAAAACCTTTTGGTTTGACGGTTTTTAACCAAACCAAACATAAACTAAAACTATAAAAAACTAATGGCCAAATGGATTTTTAGGTTTAACCATAATCAAACCATATCACTTTTTTCGGTTCGGTATGGTTTGGTTTTTTCGGTTATGATTTTTGTGCTCACCCCTAAAATAAAGTGTCCATAGAAACGTGTCTACATTAACATGAAACATATCAAATTATCAAATTTGTAACCTGTAAAAATTATTTTACAATTGTGTCTTGCTCTTCTAACTAAAGAGAAATCTAACTAATAAAAAAAACATCTTATCTTGATTTTTACAAACATGTCCACATCACAATATCCACATAAACAATAAAAAATAATAAACAATCATTAAGAGAATAAATGGAAAACTAAAATATAAATACTAAAAAAGTGCTTTTCTCTTAAGAAATGCCTTATTTTGTAAGAGAACTTAAAAATGCTTCAAAATGTAAATTCACTCTAAATATAAATGGGTCTTACCTTTTAAGCGAAAACAGTATGACCAAAATCGATTTATATAATGAATTAAACCATCCACGACTAAAGCAATTAGTCAAAGATCCGTAATTATATAACTAAATAGTAAATTATACGTTCCAGCTGATAAATGTCAATAGTAAATTCTACACTTCGACTGATAAATGTCAATGCCACTTATATATAAATGAAGATTACATAATTTGGAGGAGGAAACTTTGGTAGTATAATAGTTTTTCTCTTTACTTTTGCGATGATTTTAGATTTGCAACTAAAGATTTGTGACGTTTTGGAGTCCATTGCAAATCTGCTGCTATAGTCCTTTTGTGACGGACTAGCGATCAGGTTTTCCGATGCAAATTGCATATTTTGTTGTAGTGATAGGCTTTTTTTTTTGTACCAATTTGAGTGTCTGAGCATTACGAGACTTTCATGAATTTGTATCCAAAGAATCTTAGGTTCTTTCCAAAACCAAAAAAAATATTTTCATTTACAAGAGAAAAAACGCCCTCTGATCAAGTTTCTACTTGTTGGAGTTTGATCAATGAAGAAAAAAAAGGAAGTCTCTCAAGCTTTATTCGAGTAAAACAAATTACACTCCTACATTTCGAGCAGTAGCAGCCCCATTAGTGTCATCCCACATAATCGGAATGAGACTTTCTGGCACAGTATCGAAAAAAAAAGAAATCCTAATGGTAATGAGAAAGCATAGTTGGATAATCTATCTGGTAGACGATTAGCTTCCCTATACACATGCGAGATCCGGACTATCCAGTCCTCGATATAAAGCCATAGCATAACCGTACTAGGAACGACAAGGGATGCCGATCACTTATCCCTTTCGTCAAGAAGTCCACCACAATTTTCGAATCCACCTCCAACTCCAATCTGGAAACTCTGCAATCCCAAGCAATATATAAACCATAGTAGACCCCCCAGAGCTCGGCCAATGGAGCAGAACAAACTCCGATATTCAGCGCGAATCCACCACACCAATCTCCTCATCCATCCCGGAGGACCCCTCCCGCTGTTGCTAACCCATGATTCTCCCTCGACGCACCATCTGTATTCAGCTTGAACCAAACATCCTGTGGCGGCAACCATGCTATCCATCTTTCCTCTCGAGCAAACTGCTGCATGCGTTGTCTCAGTTTTTCGTGAGCTCTCATAATCTCGTGTGCTTGTTCTCTCAAAAACTTGATCCTATCTCGGCATTGTTTGATGGAACCAAAGACATTCCCACAACGCCATTTCCATCCCTACCACAGGCCAACTGCAAACACTATTGATTCGACTTCCCTAGCCTCTCCAAGATTCTCGTATAACCATTCCAATAAGGTCTGATTGAAGAAGTTCCATTGGCGACATTGTGGTATAATTCTCCTCCAAATCCCTTCCATTTCTGGACAATCCTGAAGCACATGTAAGATCGATTCCTCCCCTCCCTTACAGACCTGACACACCTTCGTATCACTCATATGTCTTCTATATCGCTGCACATTTGTCATGATCACCTGGTGTGATACTAACCAGAGAAATAAGCGGATCCGTTCTGGTACCTGAACCCTCCATATACGATCAAAGAACTTCCTCATGTCCTGTGCTGGTGTATTTCTCCTTGTGAGGAGCGAATGCGCTGACTTCACAGTGAAATTACCATTCTGATTTGTACCCCACGACATTCGGTCTGTCGCTCCTGTAATATCGTCGAGGACCACTGCTCCTAGTCTTAAAATGCTATATCTGGTTAAGTAAGGTGCAATTTTCATGATCATCCAGCCCGTTCCATTGCGCCAAACCTCTCGAACCTTTAACTGCAGGATATCTTTCGGGATCACACTAACTGCTGACTCCTCCAAAGCTATATCTCCTATCCACTTATCCTTCCAGAACCGAACTTTACGGCCATCCCCAACTACCCATGACATCCCTGGGAGCACCACCTCTTGCAGTCCAGTTCGAATACTTTGCCAAGTGCTAGACCAGTTGCCCTGAGCAACCATCCAAGAGGTTTGATGGACCTCTGTTACATTATATTTTTTCCGTATTACTCTAGCCCATAGGCTTGTATCATCATTCAGTAACCTCCATCCCAGTATAGCAATGAGTGCCTTATTCATATTTTGAGCTCTCCGAACCCCCAGCCCTCCTACATGTTTCGGTAAACAAACTCTGTCCCATGCCACTAAATGTTGCTTCCTATGCTCTCCCGTACTGCCCCATATAAACGACTTTGACAATTGGTCTAATCTCGCTAGCGTCGACTGTGGAAGCGAGATCGTGCTCATAGAGTGTACTAGAAGAGAAGACAGAACCGACTTCGTAATTGTTAACCTCCCTGTGAAGCTCAGAAACCGTCCTTTCTAACCCGCCAATCTGTTGGAAACTCTTTCCAAAACCTCACCAAAGGTATCTTTGTTGATTCTTTTTTGCAGTATAGGCATTCTCAAATACTTGCCTAGATGCGTTGTTGGCTTGATCCCACTCTCGTTACTGATCAAACTTGCCAAATTCCTAGAGACATTCGCAGAGAAGTAAATTTTCGATTTCTCAAGACTCACTTTCTGCCCTGATGATACATAGAATCGTTCCAAGACTCTTCTTATAACTTGAATTTGGATCACAGACACTTCTACAAAGAGGATGACATCATCCGCAAAGCAAACATAAGATAATTCAGGACCTCCCCGTGATAATCGTATCGGTTTCCATTTCTTTCCCATTCCAAATGATGCTCATCGAGGGCCCTGTCACCACTTCAGAATCCAACATATCCATGACTCTGGTAACTTTGCTGCCTTTAGCGTATCTTCCAAAAAATCCCACCTGATCCTATCGTAGGCTTTTTCGAGATCAAGTTTAAGCAACATCCAGCCACGACGCCCTTTCTTCTTCCTCATCGAATGTACTGTCTCATGGACAACAACAATATTGTTTGCACTTAAGCGCCCTGGGATAAAGCTCGATTGCGCAAGATCTATGAGTTTTGGCATTAACCATTTTAGTCTCGTCACCATAGTTTTCGTTATGGTTTTAAACAAGACGTTACAGAGACTAACAGGGCAAAATTGTGTTATTCGCTCTGGTTTTAACACTTTTGCAATTAATACCAACATCGCGTCATTCAACCCCTTTGGTAACTCCCCTATTTTGAAGAACTCTAACACAAAACGACTGACCGATTCCTCAACCACTTCCCAAATTGTGTATTTTGCAATTTGTTGTAGTGATAGGTTTATTTATGCAAACTCTATAACTTATTCAGCAAGTATTTTAAATATAATGTTTCAACTCGTATCTCCGAGATCTCGTCCCGCAAGCTCAAATATGGTAACACGGATGAGATTGGACAAAACATAATATTGGCTTCAAACTCGACCGTCGAGTAATTAACCATTATATCCAACTGCAGTTCTTCAAAGAAGCTACAACACCCAGCCATTAGGTTATTAATAATGTTTATACTCGGTTATAGAGTTAAATCGATAGAAAATACATCTTCCTATTTGTGTATCCCATCATCTCAAGTCATCATTTTCATGGCCAGATCAATTTTGTAGTAGATGAATAACCACATAAAGACAAGTGACCAAATAAAATTCTACAATCTCACATCCTTTCTTTTTGTTTGTAATGAAAACTAAACAAATAAAAAAAATACCTAGATAAAATCACTTAAAAACTCTCTTTTTTTAGAAAATCAAATTTAAGCAAGCCTTTTAGAAGATTGAAATAAGAAAATAAGATATTAATAGATATAAAGAAGAAAGATAAATCTGCAATAGTAGTAGGCAGTCGAGAATTGAACAAAACTTTTCGTATGTAGTTATTATTCTGAAAATAACAAAACTTAAACTCACAGAAATTGAATCTTACCTCTGATATCATGATATAGTTTGGAGGAAACCTTAATAATCTAATAGTTTCTCTCATCTTTATTCATTAACTAATAAGTTTAGTCATGCAAACTCTATAACTTGTTTAGTAAATACTTTACATATTCAATATACAAAATCTAACTATTTGACAATAATGGAATATATACATAAATGCTAACTTTCCATTCAATTCGATCTTGTATCTTCAATATCTTCTAACACAATAACAGTTTGAAAAGTTCTCTGTCCAGTTGGACAACATGTGGGTCGTCTCTCACGCAGGTGAGACGGACGAAAAGGCAATCCTCGATTCTTCCGCAAGCAAACACAGCGAGAAACCGTCGCAACCACCAATTCCAAAGAAACGCGCTTCACGACTATCCATCATACTTCTCGATCAAGGACTGTTCACCGTTTACAAACGCCTCTTTATCGTTTCATTGTTCCTAAACGTCGTAGCTCTCGTTCTCGCAGCCACTGGAAATTTCGCTTACGCTAGAAACAGAGCGTCTCTGTTTTCAATCGCCAACATTCTCGCCCTAACTCTCTGCAGAAGCGAAGCCTTCTTGAGACTCGTCTTTTACCTAACTGTAAGCCTCCTTGGACGCTCCTTTGTCCCTCTCCGCATCAAAACCGCGGTCACATCGCTCTTACAAAGCCTCGGCGGTATCCACAGCGGTTGCGGCGTTTCCTCAGTCGCTTGGCTCATCTACTCATTAGTGCTCACTCTTAAAGACAGAGACAACACGTCAACAGCGATCATAGCGGTTGCGTCCGCGATTCTCTCTCTCCTCTGCCTCACTTCTGCGGCCGCGTTCCCTCTCGTTCGCCATCTACACCACAACGTCTTTGAACGTGTCCACAGATTCGCAGGCTGGTCTGCTTTAGGCCTTGTTTGGGCGTTTATAGTTCTGACGATTTCCTACGATCCAATATCAAGAACCTACACCGATAATCTCGGCTCGAAGCTGATCAAAACGCAAGAGTTTTGGTTTACGTTAGCGATTACCATCGCGATTTTGCTCCCTTGGTTAACAGTGAGACGCGTTCCCGTTGACGTATCATCTCTCTCGGGCCATGCGTCACTGATCAAATTCAGAGGAGGCGTGAAATCAGGGATTTTAGGTCGGATCAGTCCATCTCCGTTGTCGGAATGGCACGCTTTTGGGATCATCTCTGATGGGCAGACATCGCACATGATGCTAGCTGGAGCTGTCGGCGACTTCACCAAGTCCTTAGTTTCAAAGCCTCCGACACACTTATGGGTCCGTACGGTTCACTTCGCCGGTTTACCATATCTCGTTAACTTGTATGACAAGGTAGATACATTTCTCTACAACTTAGGGTTAACTAGTAGCAGATTTAACAGTTTTTTTTGTTGGATTTTTGACGGTTTTAGAAACTTCGCTATTAAGAAGATATTTTGAGAAATAAAAAATTGACTTTCAAACATTTGGATTCTTTTTGTTTTTTATTTGTTATCACTAAATTTTGTTTGTTTGTATATAATAAATTTACCACCGTTTTCACTTGAATACTGAAAATATTCCTTTTTTTGTTCACAGGTATTACTTGTGGCCACCGGTTCGGGGATTTGCGTATTTTTATCGTTTCTCTTGCAGCAAAGTAAGGCCGAGGTATATCTGATATGGGTGGCTAAAGGATTAGATGATAATTTCGGGTCAGAAATCGTTAATAGGATTAAAGATTATCCTCATCAAGACAGGGTCATAGTTCACGATACTGCGATTTTGGGACGACCAGATGTGTCGAAAATGAGCGTGGAAGCTTCCAAGAAGTTTGGAAGTCAAGTTGTAATTGTCACAAGCAATCCTGAAGGAAGTCGTGATGTTGTTAATGCGTGTAAGGCTTCTGGTGTTCCTGCTTTTGGTCCCATTTGGTTATTTTCTTGTGTGTGTAAGGCTTCTTTTTTTTGTGTGTGGTTATTTTCTGATAATTTATTCTTTGTCCGTTATTCAACAATGATGTAAAAATCTGTTTTTCGTAATAAGTTAATGAGTTCATATTAAGATATACGAGTTAATAAGATAAGTGTCAGATTCATACGCACGTGAAAATTAATGAGTTAGTTAGCTTACACCCAAAAAAATTAAATAGCGTTATCTACCAAGACTTTGACTACATACTATACTATACTTTATATATGTGAGTTCTACAATTCTACTCTATTTCTAAACAAACAGTGCGACTTTGACTTAGTTCTCGTTTTATAAACAAGATTTGACCAATTCAAAATTCAAAAAATTTGAATGCCGAATAATAAGTTTTTTTTTCTTTTTTTAACTTTTACTTATGACAAATAATAAGTTATGTTCGTTTAGCCGAAGTTTTATTATAGGATGGCAAATCACGTTTCAATACATGTCACATGTGTATACTAAATGTTACCAAAATCCGAATATCTGTTCCCTCAGCTACAAAGTACTTATGATAACATTAATGATACGAGCAAAATCAGAAGTTTGGATCCGCCTTTTAATGCCATCTAATTAAGTACATGTCTCAATTAAAATTGAAAATCATCAACATTCACCACTACTCAATATTCCTTCAAGTAGAAACTTTAAAAACAATTTTTTTCTCTAGCTTTTGGTTTAAATTTTTACATATCGTTGCACAAATAAATAGTGGTTTGTGTTAATGTCGTTGACAATTGTTATCTCATTTACCTAATTTTGAATATATGGGCTGTAACTGATTATCAATTTTAGAAATATGCTGAATGAGAGGAATTAAAAAAATGGAATACAAATAAATAGAATAATAGTAGTTAAAGGAATAAATATATGCAGAAAATGAATTGATGTAGCATGAATGGTAACTGTTTAGAGGAATAAATTAGAATGAAATTAAAATTAGTTTAAATTAATTAAAATTATTATATAACATTAAGTTTATTTTCATTCCTTACATTCACAATGCTTTTTGTTTTGGAATGATTTTTAACTACATTTTTCTTCTTTCTCACAAATTTCATTAGAATGAATAGAATAAAAAAACATCATTCCACTGAAATGATTACATTTTTATGTGAAATCTCTATGGAATAATTCATTTCACATAGTTTTGATCGGTTATTATTAAAGTTCAAATTTGTGTCTTTAGTTATTTTTTTTTGTTTACAGCCAATTTTTTTTCCTTTTTAGACTGTACAAATCATTCTTTTCTTCTAAAACGCAATTATAAATTTTCCAATATTCTATAATTTCACAGCAATAAAATCTACAACCACTGAAAAAAAATCTACAACCATATTTTCAAAACAAAACCTAAATCTAATGCTGTTATCAATCATGCCCATTTTATATGTATTGTATTTTGTTACCCAAAGAATTCCAAAATGTTATTCACTTACAAAAACTTAAATATTTCATAAGTTCTTTAGGATTAATGGAAATTTACTCTCTGTTTCTTTTATCAACAAGGATTGATACAAGTTTACTCTGTTTTTTAATCAACAACATTTAGGGAGAATTAAAAATGCATGCATCATCATCATCTTAATTAATTTACAAAAATAATATTTGGTTGTTATACTCCAAAAGCAAAGTGAAAATTTGGTAATTAATCAGGGGGGAATGAAACTGGATTAAATTTCTCTATTTATAACCATCAAATAATTTACCAGTATTAAAAAAGTATAATAATATAATATTACAAAAAATAAATCTACTATATGTGGTCCACCACAGAACACTACACTGAACCTTTTCCCAGTAAAACAAAATCTATGTACCAAAATAATGGTAAACATTAAACCACAAAACCATATTCAACAAGACACTCAACTCTATTTTGTGAAGGTAAACCCGGTTTGGTTCGGTTTACTTAGACCACTTGTAGGTTTTCAATACGGATCGACCCAACATCTATCATCCTTCACAGCTTTCTTCCAACGTTCCTTGAATCTCTTCATCTCTACAAACGATTTCATCCTCACTTCTGGTCTATTATCCACTTCACGAGACTCTGATGATTCCTTTGAAACCTTCCCAAGAACAAAAAAAAAAAAAAAGCAGATTACCAAAACACATTTCCACTTCAAGAATCATATACAAACACACTTGAAGAAGCTCGTACATGTGATTTCTGGTTTGTCTCATTCCTCGCGGCTTCAACCACACCAAGTGTGGGAAGACCGTAATGAACTATGTACTCCGCATCAACAACACCTACATTTTCCTTCCGATCACCCTATTCGCCACCAAGAATATGTTCAAATAAGCACCGTGAAATCAAGAAAGTATAAAAATTGTTGAAACCGGTTAAGAAAGTTAGAAGAAGAAACCAACTTGCGCACAATAACCAAGCTGCATATCCAAACCCCAAGCATGGATCAAATCGTTCTGCATATACAAACCATTAAGTCATACTAAGGATGTGCATACAAACCAAACTGAGCTCACATTTGTTCACAAACCCAAATGGTTTACTCATTTTTATGCTTTAAAAAATCCAAACAGAACCCACACATAGTATATATATATATACAATTGTTACCTGAATCATGTACCAAGAACATCTCCATGCTGCTCTAGAGAAAACTGGAGCCATCATCTCTACCCACCTGCAAATCCAAGTAAACATACTAACCACATACGAGAGAGAGGGAAAGATTTTCAAGAACATTTTGTGAAATATTGGAAGGAAAGTTATACCCGATGCAGGGAGGATTGGTGCTATGGTCATCGCATCGCCCGGTACCTTTGTTTTTATACATTCGCCTATGAACTTTCGACTTCTTGCGACGAGCAGTTATAGGATGATGCACCTCCGATTTCGTAGTGTCGAGAGCCGGTTGCGATATCTGAAGACCTTCTTCTCTGACGATAGATAGGTATCTAAAACATAAAACAATTTCATTAAGATCTTATGGAAAAACGAGAAAAGGTATAAAAAAGAAACAAAACCAAGAGATTGCGGATTACCGTTGAGAATTGAAATGAGCTACACCAAGATCTTCGTCCCACAGAAAAATATACTCATACTCTCCAACGATATCAGGGTGCAAGAATCGTTTAGCGAACCACCTGTGACATTAACATCATTCGATTGTTATATAACATATGAAAGTCAGGCGAGAATACTAGTAACAAGAGATGCAAAAAACGGAACCATTTTGTTTGATTCATCACGGAAACATGAATTGCTTGCTTGTTCCATTGATACTGTTTCCAATCGTCGACAACACCATCGTAATGAAAAAGCATGACCACGAAATCTTGAGGAGGAAACTGAAAATCACAGAGATTAGTATATCATTCATAGACACAAAAAATAGAAACTTTTTAAGACAAGACAAGAACCTTTACGATGACTTTGTTGACTAGCTCCTTCTGCTTGATTCCAACAGCCATGGCTAGCAAACTCATAGCACGATTCGGATTCCCCTGAAAAGAAATCGAGAAAGAAGCATACAACGAAAGAGTAAGCTTACAGAAAAAAAAAAAAAAAAGAAATATATGTTTACAAATCTTCAAGAAGTCTCTGGAATGCTTAACAACCTTCTTTGTGTCATCGTAGTTCCATAGATGCTGCGTTTCCAAGTTTGATGTTTTGGCGATAATTCCTTGCGGTAATGATTCAGCACCAAATGGCTTATTGAGATTCTAATGGAAGATATTAATCATATAAACTTTGATACCAAAGAATCTCACAGAGGAAACTCAAACAAAACTGTATTTCTTCGTAGGAAACAAACCTCGCATGTACCGGATGTTGCTTTCTGCAACTTATCAGTGATGTTATGCATTTTATCAGTGACGTTATGCATTTTATCAGTGATTTCCCATCGTTGCAATTTCTGTAAATAAAAAATCTTAAAAACATTTAGAAATAAGAATAGTCTCTTATTGATTATAAAACCAGAAGTCTACAATAATTCTATTCATTAGGGGTGTTGTAATGGAAAATAAATTATTTCAGAAGTCAAAGAACCACAATCATGTTCTTCACATTTGGGAGAGAAATGCTCATTTTCATTGTTGATTACATAAAAAAAAAGCCACGGAACAATCCAATTATAAAGAGGCAGCATCATAGAACATATAATTAGAGCTAAAGTGAAGTCAAACACAAAAATAGATTTTTACCTCTTTAAATTCTTTAGCTAGATAAGCATTGCCAATGAAGTAAGCACCACAAATCAGAGCAGTGGCGATTAAGACACTACAGAGACACGATCTGTTCATCGAATCCTGAAATTTACAGAGCAATCAGAAGAAGAAGAAAAACTGAAATTTAAAGAATTGATTTTGAGGAAACCTCTTCAGTTATAGAGCCTAGAGACAGAGGCTTTAAATCATATATCACAAAACAGTGAGTCAGGTTATCAACTATAAACAATATATGGATGATCTGACAAAAAAAATACTTTCAATTTGGAAAAGATAAAAGATTTACGGAGAATTTTGTAGATTTTCTCCTCTGTTTCCAATGTAAACACCTAAGAAGAAGATATAGCTAATGATTCCGCAAATAATGTAAGAAGAAATGAGAAGCAATCATCTAACTAATTTAATTTCATAAGTCATTGTCGTCAAGAATTTACCAACCAATCAACCATAGGAATATGAAGTAAAGTAAAAGGAGACGAAAGGAGGAAGAAGAAAAGCTTTTTAATTCACCTGTTTCATGAATTTGGTGATTTCTCTGTCTCTGCCTTTTTTGGGTTTCTCTAAAAATTGAACCTTTTTCTTCCTTTCGAAAAGGGTTTTCTGATGGAATAAAACCCTTTTGAAGAAGGGAAGAGGAAGAGACGAAAGTAGAAGAAGAAGAAACGAATATTCCGAACTTGGTCGTTTTAAATTCTAAAAGCTTTAAAAGAGTCAGATTTTTTTCTTCTACAGAGTTTCGTTAAACAATGAAAAACCCTAAGTCTCAGAGAAGCTTTTAGGCATGCATTTCTCAGTTTCCTCTGTTGATGATGATTCACAAAATCAGAAAAAAAAGAAGTTAGTATAAATTAAGCTGAAATATTTAACAATATGGAAAATAATCTGAGAATTGATGAGGAAAAGATTAGAGAGACACGTCTTGTGGGATCGTGGAGCATTTACAGGGTGTTCGGGAGAGAGAGAAGAGAGAGAGAGGCGTTTGTGTTTGAGGAAGAAAGGAAAGTGGTAAGTGGTAAACACACGTGTAAGCTTTTCTTTGGTTGTAAAAGTTATTTATTTTATTTTTGTTTTCAGGCGTGTGTATATTTGTCTCTCGTTTCGGATTTGAAAACCGACCGAGATATTATTATTCATTTGTTGTCGTCATAATTACTAGATCAGTTTAGTTTAATTTAAAAAGTTAATTTCTTTTTTTTTTCAAAAAGAAAAGAAGAATCTTTTATCTTATTGAGTTTCTCTCCGATTTTTTCCTTTTGGTTCAGTTATCGGCGGGAGACTCTGTAGCTCACTCTCTCGCATCGTCGATGTTCTCGTTATCGTTAATTCAGCCGCATCTCCGGATTTCAGAGATTCCGGCGACGCAAAGCTTCAAATCGTCAACGATTCTGAGCATTTGCTATTCGAGACCGAAGCGAGATGAACAGAGGAACGGGAAATTATCTGGGTTTCGACTCGTTTCTGGAAAGAGATCAACTTTCGATTCGGGTTTCAGCGATTCCTTCGGGTTGGAGTTTACCGGTGAGAATGTGAGTCGTGATGGTTCATCTTCCTCGCCGAGCGAACGAGTGGACTACTCTCTACTCGCGGAGTGGCTTCAGTCTTCAAGTGGGATGCGAATCATTAAAAGGATTCACGCGATGGCGTTGAAGTGTTTCGATGATCAAGAGATCTATTTCGGTAACAATTTGATAAGCTCCTGTGTGAAGCTCGGAGATTTGGTTTATGCACGGAAAGTGTTCGACAGTATGCCTGACAGAAACACGGTTACTTGGACTGCGATGATAGATGGGTACTTGAAGTTCGGTCTTGAAGACGAGGCCTTCTCTCTGTTTGAAGACTATGTGAAGCATGGGATCCGATTCACTAACGAGAGGATGTTCGTGTGTCTGTTGAATCTTTGTAGTAGGAGATCAGAGTTTGAGCTAGGGAGACAAGTACATGGTAACATGGTGAAAGTTAGAGTGGAGAATCTCATTGTAGAGAGTTCTCTCGTTTACTTCTACGCTCAATGCGGTGAATTGACAAGCGCGTTGCGAGCTTTCGATATGATGGAGGAGAAAGATGTTATATCTTGGACAGCTGTTATATCGGCTTGTTCGAGACAAGGGCATGGGACTAAAGCTATAGTCATGTTTACGGGAATGTTGAATCACGGGTTTTTACCAAACGAGTTTACCGTTTGCAGTATCTTGAAGGCTTGTAGTGAGGAGAAAGCGATAAGATTTGGGAGGCAAGTACACAGCTTGGTGGTTAAAAAGATGATTAAGACAGATGTCTTCGTTGGAACCTCGCTGATGGATATGTATGCTAAATGTGGAGAGATTTCAGACTGCAGGAAAGTGTTTGATGGGATGAGCAATAGAAACACTGTCACGTGGACTTCGATTATCGCTGCGCATGCTCGGGAAGGTTTTGGTGAAGACGCTATTAACCTCTTTAGGGTAATGAAGAGGCGGCATTTGATCGCTAACAATTTGACAGTAGTGAGTATCCTTAGGGCTTGTGGATCCGTTGGGGCTTTGTTGTTGGGGAAGGAGCTTCATGCTCAGATAATCAAGAACTCGATCGAGAAGAATGTCTATATAGGAAGTACTTTGGTTTGGCTCTACTGTAAATGCGGGGCATCTCGTGACGCTTCCAATGTTCTTCAGCAGTTGCCATCTCGAGATGTGGTTTCGTGGACCGCTATGATCTCAGGGTGTTCGAGCTTAGGACATGAATCAGAGGCGCTAGATTTCTTGAAAGAGATGATTCAAGAAGGTGTGGAACCAAACCCATTTACATACTCCTCGGCTTTAAAAGCTTGTGCTAATTCAGAAGCTCTTCTAATCGGCAAATCGATTCATTCCATTGCAAAGAAGAATCATGCTCTGTCTAATGTCTTTGTGGGAAGTGCTTTGATTCATATGTATGCGAAATGTGGATTTGTCTCGGAAGCTTTTAGGGTATTCGACAGTATGCCTGAGAAGAACTTGGTTTCATGGAAGGCGATGATAATGGGCTACGCGAGGAATGGGTTTTGCAGGGAGGCGTTGAAGCTAATGTATAGAATGGAGGCAGAGGGATTTGAAGTGGATGATTATATATTTGCTACAATTCTCTCTACCTGTGGAGATATTGAGCTCGAAGAAACTGAATCTTCTGCTGCTTGTTACTTGGAGACCTCTTGATCATTCTTCTTTAGAAGCTCTCGTTTTCACGTTTTTCTATATGACAAAGTTCATCAAAAAGATGCGTGCCACAATAGCATCAAATGTACAAATTTCAAGTTGGGATATAACGAGTCGAAGATTTCAATCTTTGCAATTTGTAAATGCAAAGATTTTTGTTTTATTTTTAGCGTTTTAGGAAAATATCATATTATTCAGAGCTGGATGCATCTATAATTGTAAATTTACAAAGTGTTTTTATTTGGTTATAAATGAATAAGAATAAGGCACATGGTGGTCTTCATTATAGAAAAATCTATAGATAAAATGAAAAGATATATGTTGATAATAAAGAAATTCTATCATAAGTAGAAAATTAAAACCAAGGCTCAAAATGAAATTAATCTACAATATATTAAAAGTAAAAAATTAGATAAATGATATAGAAAGATCTTATTATTATTTTCATTAACATTTTAGATGATAGCCAATTTTTATTTATAAGAAGAAAAAAAACTAGAGTTGATACATATTCATAATTCAACCCAAAAGAAGAAGAAATCAATTCTCTAATTTAATGTTAACAAGTACTCAGAACCAAGTGTTAGTGGGCTTTTTCTCAATATATATGGGCCTTATTGACAAAATCCCTTTTTAAGCTTCAATGAATCCGTTTTTTCTTGTAAGATTTACGACTAAAAATACAAGATTCAGTTGAGGTGCCAATAAAGTGAGGAGTGTAAAAAATATGATAAAGTTATTGATCTTGTTTACTAATAATTTGAATCCACTATGTATAATTTAATTAATCGTCAAAGTTGAATCTTCACTAAACATTTTATTAATGATATAATACGTTATATGTGGAAGCCTAGATCCAATGGTTGACAAGAATTTAATATTTTTTTTACTATAGGATTCGATTTCTAAGAAAATCACCCTTTTTTGCAGATTAGAAATGCAAAAGTTATTAGAGATTTCGTCTAGCAAGTTAAACCGTCCGTTGTGACCTTATTATTCGAAGTTGTTTAAAATAGCTTTATACTTTATAAAACCGTCTGTTATGAAATCGTGTAATCGTATAGTTTTGCGTAAAACCGTCCATCATTATCTCATGTATCCATGTACGTGTTGCAAGTAGTTAGTTATATCTTCGATCAATAGATCAATCGATTGAATAAGAAGTAATAACCAAATATATTTGATGATGGTAATGATGATGCAACGTACGAAAGAATAATATATAATATGCTATATGTGGTAGAAGATCAAATGTTTTAAAAAAGTTTCCTTTAGTTTTAAGAATTTAACTATATTTTCAATTTAGGTAATCATCTTCTCTTTCTTAATTTAGAATGCACATTATACGGTCCCCACTTTGGCACAATGGACCGATTTGCTGCCTCTAGTTTACGGCCTTTTTTTATGATTTTTTTTTCATCACTAAAGTTTAATGCTTGGTTAATCTTAATTCTTAAATGTCGAATAAGACCCTATGAATATTGAATATGATCCAATTCGTATTTATTCTAACTAATAGACCAAAATTCTATTTATCAACAACTACTCAGCCCTTCATGGTACTGTTTTATACTTTAATCCTTTATGGCTTTGTCATATTGGGGAGTGAAAACATTTTGTCTTTCAAAAGATGTAAAGTTCGTAAAATGTAATTCATGTATATGGTTTATTTTGTACAATTGTAATATTAATTTCCTTAGGATTAGTACACACAAGTTTATGCCCTATAAAGTATATACTATAAAGGCGCCTACTAATCTTTGTGCTTAGTAATATATTAGAGTTTTAATTAAAACTAAAGCAATATCAATTGATGTCAACACAATCATATTATATATACTTTATATATGATATATAAATTCAAATCGTGCGAATGTTACAAATGATAAGAAGGTCACACGATGCTTTAAGTTATTTGGGGTGATGAAAAATCTATATTAAACAGAAAAGAATTACTACAATATACAATCGGGTCCATTTTGGTCGTGTGATAAGTCATTAGGTTTTTGGCGTCATACGTAAAAATACTCTTTGCTTTTAACCAAAAAAGAATGTGTTCACGTTCGCCGTCTTTTCTCTTTTGTCCGTCGATAAAGAAACTTTATTATATCTTGCTATATTCAGTCGATTTATCCCCCCCCATTTGGCCTTCACGTTCATCGACTTTTAGGTCAAATGCTTTTTCATAATATTTTTAAATGATCTAAACACAGTGATTTATCATATTAATATATTATATATGTGTGTAATGTTAGGTTAATTTTATTTAATTTTCTTTTGGTATACGCGTATGATTTCATGGGAATCTGTCTTTTTCACTCATGACCTGGGTCGATCATAGTATTAGGTGTTTGGTTTACTGTAAAGCATGATTAATCAAAGATGAACAGACTTTTCGATAGAGATTATGTTGTAAATTTATCTTTGAAAAAACTGATGGACCAACGCTTAAAGTTAAATGTACCAAATATATATATAGACCATAAATAACATACACATTAAAAAATTGAGTTTATACTTGAATAAATTTTTTTAAATACATCACTTTCTTACAATGTTTATAAAAAATGTACGAAAAAATCTAACTTAAGTCTAGAACAACAACAACGTACGACAAAAATAACATGCATGGTTTTGTATGGTATTATTATATATCTGATATCACATATTTATTTATTTTTGAAATGTGATCACATATTTATTTATCATGAGTATATTCAAAACTTTCTTTTTACTTTATATATGTCAAACAAAGGTTTTCTTGAATTTAATTGAAAAAGGAATTACATAAATATTATTAACTTTAAAACGTATGTAAAATCGTAGTATATATATATTGTTCCAGGTGATCATATATAAACAGTTGCTTAGCCTGCATGTACTATTATGAACAAGGCCTGACGTCAACCAGTGTTCAGATCTTTTATTTTTATCTTATATTATTATCTAATAAAAATCTTGTTATACTATTTATTCCGAACGTCTTGAGATTAATAGTTTATTCAATAAAAAAATCTCAGTCACTTATAATATACGAAGTCCATCGTATTCTTGTAGTATTAATGTTTTTGGTGATGGAATACTTGTTAAAAAAAAACTAATGTTTATATAACTTAAAAGCATATATCAAAACAAACTAACTTTCTAGTGTTACCATTTATTACTTAACTAGCACAGGATTTAACAATGAGAAAAATCAAAGGACCATCTTAATCGATAACATCCAACATTCTTTTTGTTACTATTGAATGAATGTAAGAACTAAGAAGCTTATCAGTTAAAAAAACAGAGGTGAATGTAAGATCGCATCCAACATTAACTTTTTCAACAGTTTTATCCTAATCATTGATCAATGGATGAAGTCCTACTTAAACAAGGGCCATCTAAATCGGACTTTCATATCATTCAATATTCTGTTTTGTCGGTTAAAAAAAGAATACGTAATTGTTTTTTTGATTTGTCTTTTTTAACATACTAGTCATAATCGGTCATAAAACACGATACAATCATAAGACATATAGTCATTAGTCATATGTATATGCAGGACCATCTAAATCAACCCCATACATTGGGTTGTTATATATATTATACTATATTATAAAGGCACAAAACAACAGTCATAAAAAGACGTTATCTAAAAGGTGTAGTAATATGGTCCTTATTTTAGCCAGAAACGTAAAATAACGAAACTTAGAACATCTAACGTACGACAATGAAAATTAAAATAATGTATCAACAAAACTGTTATCTTTTGTAATACTCTTACAAATTAACGAACATTTATAATTTTATTACGAAATAAAAAAACAGATTCATTGCAGCCAGATTATTGATAACAAATGCAAATCTCGGAGAAACTGAGAACAACTCTTAATTATAAAGGAAAACCCTAAATAACTAATGATGTTGTGGGTCGGGTCCTCCAGGGCTTAACCGTTCTGGAGTTTTCCCATGGCTGCCTCTACTACCCACAGCTTGATCATCCGCTACAGTCGGGCTCGTAGCCTCGAGGGAAGGGCTTAGTTCTCTCACCTTCATCCCGACCGGAATCCGCTCAAGAGGGCGGCTTCCGACAGCTACTGAGGCTAGCAGAAGAAACAGAAAGAAGCATAGAGTAAAGCTTAACTTAGCCATCACAATTACAAGATATTGCAATAAGTTTCTATATATAGAAAGGCAATACAAAAGGAGAGAGATGGCTTGAAATTGTGAAGTAGTTCACGTGGTGTGTGTAAGTGTATATGAGGAAAGAAGAGATCTCATGAGGGTTTCTATTTATAGAGTTTTATTTGAAGGGTTTCTAGTATGGGTAGTGGAGATGAGTTTTAGCTACCTTAGGGCTTTAGTGCATATGGCAAGTGAAAACATGAGTTGTCACCGACGAGTGACGACGGTTAATCTAGTTATCATTTTTATTTCATTACCAAAACCATCTATAATAATCATATCTAATCTGTAACCAGCTTAGCAAGTGACTCTTGCGAATCGCAAGATGCAAATTGGTGCTTTGAAAAGTAATAAAAATTTGATAAAGATCTCCGCATTACGGTATAGTACACATATTTAATACAATCGACATCTTAATATATACTTATTAATAGTGTTAGGGCCTATGATTGCCCAAGCCCTTTATAGACTCATGTGCGATCCATTTTTAAACACTCGTTGATTTGTTAGGTGGCCTTGTCTCTAGGATGGATATTATACTCATACCACAACAACTTTGTGAATATATCGTAGTGGTTAGTATGCATTCAGCGAGATTCGATTTCCAGTCCAAATCAATAGAGTAAAAACAACCGGTAAATACTTATACAGCCAATATAAAATGATCTTAAGCTAAACTATTTTAAACATATACGAGTTCCGAATCGAACAAGATCTTTTGTCACGGCGTGTCAATGTTTGTCAAACCCTTATTGATCAATCATGCATGCGATCATCCATTTTAAACACTCACGGGTTTGTTAGGTAACCATGACTATGAAATCAAATTTACTAATCTCGAAACATGTATTTACACGAGCAAGTGAGAGCAACAGGAAGTATTTACACGAGCAAGTGAGAGCAACAGGAAATAAGAATATAAAACCCTTATTTAATGAACTGTGGATTATTCAAATAAGAGAAGCTTATAAAGATCAAGTTTTATCCAATAAATACGATCGTTTTCATAATTACATCATCAAAGTAAGAAAGATATATGAATCTTGTGAATCCTATATAGTTACATTGGTCTATCGAAAAAGAGCGATAAGAACAACAAAATGATATAGCGATAAGAGACGGCTTCGAGTGCTTATTATAATAAACATCTATATATGTCGATAAAGCACAAATCTTTAATACCAAAACTTACACCATCTCTAACTCGGCCGTCCCTATCCGATGATAGTATATATAATATATGCATGCGTACACAGATAATATTTATATATATATACATAAATGTGTGTGTGTGGGTGTGTGAGTGAGAGAGAGAGTTAATAATACGAGGTAATGATAATGGACGAGGAGAGTGATTCATGAAAATCCAATAAGATAGAAAAGGAAAGGAGTAAAATATGAAAATGCAAGTCAAAGGCCAAAGAGAGCACTTACTAGGCGTTTTGTGTTGGTTTTGGATTGGTGAGTTGGAGATTTTCAATATTTTTATCCACCCATTTGATTCACCAGGAGAGAATTTCATTACAAGATAGAATATTCAAAAAAGTTTCAACCAAAAATAATAAAAAAAAATGGATAAGAGATATTATAATATTTTTTACATTTGCCAGGAGGTGGTAGTGTATTATTATAAGATGCCACTAAATAAGGTGAGGTCAAGTGATTTAATTAAAGGATAAGTTTTCAAGAAATCACTCCTCTTATACACTGTAGTTCCGTTTTTAACTGAATAATTTCTTATCCAGATCCAGTTTTCTTCATCATAAATGGTGTCAGCAAATTGTTTGACCAAAAATTTATGCAAGACATACATCATTTTAGTGATAATCTCAAAGATGAAAGTAACTATAACTGTCTCACAACTCACAAAAAGAAGAAGAAATCTAAGTAATTGACTCTTCTTTTTTCTTCATACACTTGACTTGGCATGGTCCAATGGCTCATATCCTCGTTGTCACCAAAACGCATGTAATAATGGGTTCGAAACTCTCACATGAGATGAGAGTTAATGACATAGTCTATATATAATCCACAATACAACCCAATGACACAGTTATCACTTAATCACAGAGACAATTTCGGATCGCTTCAGAGTTCTCAGTTGAGTTGAAATTGCAATCACTAACTTCATTTCTATCTCAGCTATTCCTACTTAAAACAGATCAGATCACAATTAACATGTATAAATTTCCTTCTGTTGAAGTTAAGAACATATTTATACCCAAAAGCAAAATCCTTAAGAATTGTAACTATTATATCTTGTATGTTTGTGGGTACATGAATGCTAATGGCAGGGTATTGATAAATACCCATAACCAAAAAGGTGATACAAAAGTCAAAAATGGGAAGGAACCCATCTATAGATGATAGAAACAAATTCCAAAACAAGATAAGAAAATTCATCTGAAATTTCTACAAGAGAAGGCAGAAGAAGTAGTAGCAGCAGCCTTGAGACCAACACCAGATCTTCTCTTCATGGACTTGGGATCAACTGATAGAGATGGCGAAGAGGACGAAGAGTGACGAATCAGAAACGAAGAAGACAACGGTGGTGATGAGACAAAGAGATTGGTGATGTCTTGAAGAGGCTGTCTTCTATATTTTTTTATTCTGAATCTGAATTGGGTTTTGTCTTTATCAATGGATGAACAATCTATAGGCTTAGTAGAAATGGTGGCCATGTTTGAAGGTGAGACATTCTCTTTGTTGTCGTTTTCAAGAATTAAATCGAAAGAAGCCATTGATGTAGAACTCGAGAGAGAAACTGAGGAGATGTATATGAATAGAGGAAGAGAGCGATTGAATTGAGGATAGAAGGATCTGAAGAGATTGTCTATGAAGTGGGTGTGAATAGGAGGGAACTATAAACCAGAATTGGAAGTGATGGATCTGAGATTTGTTTTGAAGTTTTTGTGTATTTCATTTTTGTGGAGGGATTCTTTTTTAGTTTTGAGAAATGGTTCTAAATTTTTGAAAAAGGGCTCTGTGTTATGGAGGGAACTCGTGGAGGAAAAACTACGAAGATTCTCTGTTTCTGTTTTTGGTTTTGTTTTTACTAAAAGAACTAAAGAAGTATTGACTTTTGACTTTTACAAAATCTCATATTATTTCATAATTTCATTGTACCAGAGAAGGTAGGATTTTTACGCGCCATTTGAGTTAGGATGTGCGCCAAGAAGAGGGAGGGGAAGTACCGGATTTTGTTTTTTTTTTTTAAATAGAAAATCATTTACCAATTTGGGCCCAACAAGACCAATATTAATGGGCTATATCTTGGCCTTCCTTTTTACATGTTTGAAACAAAACATATTTTACAAAACCGATTTGAACCGGTTCTAATTCATCTGGACCATGATTTCTTTCTTTCTTCAGTTATATAATATGGTGGCACTGATTACTTTTTTTGTTCTTCTCACAACTTTTTGCATATTGTATTTTCTATCTAACTTTTCCATATCACAGTTAGAGTTGTTCGAGAGAACGAATTGGTTCCTTTTAAAATAGATAAACGCACAATTCTTCATCAGTTTAGCATCAAAGTTTAATATGTTCCAAATTTTATGTTTTTGTTCTTTATTGACCAGCAAAATGGGAAAGACGAACGAAGTACCTTGGACTAATTATGTAATGTCAACATTTCTGGACCTTTGACAACAACGTGTTAATGTAAGTCCACTGGGTCGATCTGGACGATGTCACCTGGTCAAGAAATGAATAATCGGAGTCGTTGAGTCTTCAGAACGATCAATCAAATCTCTTGAGATAGTTTCTGAAAAGGTCTAGATTCTTACCTCTTAAGCAACAGTTGTCTGAGTGTCACTTAAAGTCAACTTCGCTGCAAACTTCTGGACCATACGAATGTTTCCGATTATTAAGGAAAGATAACACAAAAAAGTTTCATATATACTGCTATAAACACACATAATAAAACAATGACACAGAGCAAAAAACGAAAGCTAGAAAAAGGATATCTTCTCCTCATATAAAGGATGGTTGAGCATCAGCAGCTTATTGTTGTTTACTACAGCACGAACAAGTAACTCTTTCGCTTCCTCATGTTTCTTCTTCAGAATGTTGCAGATCTACACATGGAACAAAAGGCATAATTAAACAGTTTAGAGATGTTATACTATGAACGAGAAGAGGGGTGTTTATAATTACGAAAATTTACATTGTCGAGTTCTTTTGTATATGCTTCAGCTTTCTCTATGTTGTCAGCATTCTCCGTGACCGGGATTTCCAGATTTGCCATGTTTATGAACTGGTGATGAGACGTAGCCCGTGGACTTTCCTTGACAGGCTCCTTGATTGTATTATTATCTAACTGGAAAATCAGTTGTATGACAAGTCTTAAGTAAATTAAACACAGAAAGGTTTTCCTAATAATGTAATACTCAAAGATCAATTGGTGAATTTAACCTTTCCATGCGCAACTCTATGTGTGAGCTCCTCAACATTCCTGTGGAATCTCAGCCGTATCATATATAAGAAGTAAGAACTGATGAAGCAAAGGTACAGTTATAAATTATATGGTTTAGATATCCAAAACTGGAAACCTGTTTTCTCTTGGAGACATGGAGAAGCGTTTAAGTTGTGGCTTCAGTGATCTATCTACATCCTGTGAAAAAAAACAGAGATTTTCTTCGAGCTCCAGATATGTTCATGAGCTGAGAACATCAGAAAATGTGAGTTGGGGTATAAACCTGATCAACAGCTTTTCGCTTTAAAGAAGATGGGCAGTGCAGGAGTTGTGTTCTGTCTCTAGGAGCCAAATGATGAATCACAGAGCCTTTTTTAACTGGCGGTTCGGTATTTATCTCCTTGCTTATTACAGAGCTGATTTGTGGTTGCACTGCAGAACTGGGTTGGTCTTTACTTGCTCCAGTGGTCCTATAATGTAAGATGTCATGGAATATGAATTAATATACTATATCATGAGATTCCATACCAGAAACTGTTGTGAGTTGAAGTATAAACCTCACTGCACGCAGATCAGACATGATATTTCCAAGTTTAGGCCTTTCAAGAGATACAAGCTTGGACTTCTGCGAAGATTCGGCTCCAGAACTCAAATGTTTACTTAGCTTCTGAGTTAAGCTAGAAGCATCGAGTTTTGAGCTGTGACAAAAACCAAAAGCCAAGGAACCTTAATGCATAACATTCTAATAAAACTTTCTAGAGATAAATTTAAAGGCTACGAGTTTTATACACAATGAGTGCACATGTGGTAATAATCTCTTTAGGAAATCAAGAGCATTGCAAGAGATAGGAAACAAGCATTACCACACCTTATATTCATCTGCAAGATCGACTTCTCCCTAGTTGTATTTTTAGCTTGCAGCTTTAAATGATCCAACTGTCCAGCCACATTTTCTACAGTCTTGGCATTTGAATGGTCCTTGTGGGTTATCTTTTCATGAGGGCTGCTGCTAAATATAATTGGATTTGTTACCTAACTTATAAAAATCTGGAAAGAAAGACAGAAGCTTATTCTTATGTTTGAACATAAAAGCCCAGAACATTACCTGCTAGTATTGTCATTTCCTGTTTCGGGACCCGTTTTGACAAGCTCAGTCGGAAATGTTCTAGTTTTGGATACAGGTAACGCATCTTTGATCTCAGGTCTGCATGTTTGATAGAGAAAAAATAGTGAAAAGATAGTTAGAACGACGATGAAGAAAAGAAATCTTACCTTCTATCATTTGTAAGGTTCACATTCAACGCAATCCTTTCTCGGGTCACTGGCCGGCTATCTATTTGAATTCGAGAGGACTCCAGCACATGGGGCTGTGGTTTTTCTGTCTTCTTAAAAAATTTGGATCTGATAAGTCCGGAGTCTTTGTTTTGCATGGCCTTTAAATCATTGAGCCCAGGCACGCTGCACGCAGTTTACAGAATAGAGCAGTTAAATATCTATTTCAGTTCCAAGTTTACTGGCTGAATGATAAAGTAGTTTTATTTTACTAACCTGTGGGATAGATCCAGCGGTAGCTTTGAGCTCGAATCTCGTACCTGGGCAGTTTGGCTTAGACGAGTGCCTGGTGATATCCTTCCTGAGAGATTTGTTTGAGAATGTCCAGCATCTGGATCACGTGACGTTCTTCTAGTGTCATCCTGCATTTTTGCCTGAGTGTCTGTATTCATTTCTTCCTGTTGAGGTTCTATCTTGTCCGAACATTGCTGAGATGAGATGTTTGGTTCAGTCTGTTCAGTCTTCTCATAACTTGAGTCCATGGTGGAAACCATTTTATAGTTGGCATTCTGTTCTGGATCTCTGGGACAGTCTTCTTTTGTGTCAGACCTGCAGATTTCATGGATATCTGGATTGGTTTCTCTGTTTACTGCAGTATGTGCAGTCTCGGAAGCATCATGCATTGGCGACGGTGCTGAGGTCTCCTTTGACGGGCATGGTTCATCTGTTTCTTCAACCACTGGACGCGATGTCTTCAATGGTGAAGTGTTGATGGATCGATGTTGCAGACTCATTGTATGAGTTCGTGAAGTTTTTATCCTTGCACCTTGGGGTGATTCCACCTCCTCAGAATTTGCCATGCTCTCTAGTGTAGCTTGCTTTAAGGGTGTGCTACTATCAACAACCATAGCATCTGTAATCTTGGAATTTTGATTCTCTTTTTCAGCTGAAGCTTTTGCCTTGACATCTGTATTTGCCATGGAGGCAGCTTGTTTAGTTATCGGCAAGTCTGGACCAAAGTCCAAAGATTCTGACTTGCCACTATTACTTCTAGCTAATTTTTTTTCGCAATTCAAGTCCTTGGTCGTTTTCTTGCCTTCCTTCTTCGGTGGGCTTGAATCAAGATCAAAGTCGTCTAACCTGCTTGCAGGAAAGCATGGTGCTAAGTCATCTCAAATTGACATATATATGACTTCTAAAAGGACTTTGACTTAATGGATTCATACCCATCAAAATCATAAGAGAAGGCAAACAGATTCTTTTTCTGTTTTAAATTTCCATTGGATTTATCATCAGAGCTTTCTTTCGTTTTTGTGGTTTTCTTGGCTGGGCTTGAGAAATCAAAGTCTGGCATGTCCATTTTAAAATTTCCAAAATCTCCATCCAGATCAAAACCCATATCCCTGAAAAGGAGACAAAAGAGAGAACTTACATGAGAGACTAGGCCTTGTTGTCAAGCAACAGCATCTTACACGACTAAGCAACATTTGATTAGAGGCAAACATGGTATACGAAGCATATTATATAGTTTACACTCACAGCTTGAAGGCATTTTTCTTCTTATTTGCTGGTGACTCAAAGCCAAAATCCATTGGGTCATCATCTGTGATAGACTTGAAGTTCCATGTATCCTTTTCCATGTCTTTGTCTGCAGGTGATCCATGGAAATTTAGAGACTAGAGTAAAATCATCCGTTTTAACAATGGGAATAACATCTAAGATTTTAATCTATGTAACAAAAACCAACAGCTGGTCAAAATTGAGGAAAAGTACAACGAGGCAGATAGAGAAGACCGAAAGATAGCGTGCATGATATTTCTGATGTAAATCTTTTAACATCAAGTTGTGAAGAAAGTCTACTTGACGATTCATTCACTTAAATGGAATTTTTGCTGCAGGAACCTAGAAGGCATTCCTCTAACGATGCCATGGTGGTTATGAATCATACTTGTAAAGGAAATTGAATTCATAAATGCTCAGATCTTTGAAACCAACTCTTAAACACTTAAACCTCACCGAGCATTAGATCTTTCTCCTGAGCTTCTGTAGAACTCTTTTTAGCAGGTGCAGACATGGCAAAATCTGTTCAGTATTACTCTTGACACTTTACTGCAAAGAAAAAAGCCACGATCATAATCTTTCTAGCACTCACTCACGAAAATACTTATCTATTATGTTCTGATGAACACAAAGAAGGAAAAACGTTATAACACAAATCATAAACTTCATTAACATTCTCCTAAAAAGCTATAGGATGAGCTACCAAGAGAGAAACTATCATTACGGAGATATGACGCATACCGTAGGTCTAACTATCGGCGAGACTGAGGAACATAACAGATCAAACAATGCGATTATACGATGAACAATCTAAAGAAAGAAGAAATGTAGCATGAGAAATCATGAGAATCAACACCAATTTAGCAAAAACCCAGTCGATTCGTAGGTTTTAGGCAAGGAGACGCCATTCGAGACTATTTTCAGGAAGAAGGAGCAGTGCGAAACTAAGTTTAGCTGAAACAGAGTCGGAAGGCAAAAAATCAATCATATTCTTCACATTGATCGAGCATTCTGACTCAAATCTACGCATAATCGCTACCTCGAACAGATTAATGTTCACCGTTTCTGATAAGCGATCATCAATCGTCGAACCTTGACAAAACCGAAGCCAGAACAACGCATGAACAGTGAGATTTCTACTTGAACGACGAGCATAGAAAGTAAAATCTTACCGATTAAATCGTTCTACAGTTGATTCTGTAGTTGGCGCTAACGGTAAATGTGCAACGGGAAGAAGACGACGGCACCGGAGAGAGTATCGCCGACGGAGCTCAGGGGGAAGATTTGAAATCGCTGGGCTACAAATGATTTTGTTAATGGACCGTATTGTGAAGTTGAGAGGTAATTTGATTTCATTAAGTATTGGGCCATTCCTACCTATTTTCCCCGCCGCTTTTCCCATATTTATTTATTTATTTTGTTTTATCTAATTTACATAGAGATTATTAATCTGCTAATTTCATTTTTATCAGAACGGGAAGAAAATTGATAAATTTGAATTAGGGGAAAGGGAGAATTTTTTTAATTAAAAAATAAACATTAAAAAGGACGAGGATAGAGAAGGAAATCTATCTCCTTATCCTGACCACAAAAACCAAAATATAACAAAAATTTGTCAAGGAGAAAAAGCCAATCAGAAGCTAGTGAAGCAAAGCTCTCACACAAAAATGGCGTCTCTTCTGGGAACTTCTTCCTCCGCAATCTGGGCTTCTCCTTCTCTCTCTTCTTCTTCCTCAACACCTTCGATCTCCCCCATTTGCTTCAGGCCAGGTAACGAATCTCTCCAAAACCTTTAAACCCTACTGTTTTCTCAATTGGTGAACTTAAAAATCGAATTCTTGCGTCTAGGGAAAATATGTGGAGGGTTAAATGCAGGAATCCAAATGAGGCCAAAGAAGAACAAGTGTCGTCGCCATGTCTCTGTTATGAATGTAGCCACAGAAATCAACTCTACAGAACAAGTACGACGAGTGTCTTTTCCCCTCGAACTATATTGCATTTTGATGATGTTCACAGAAAGTTTCAGACTTTGCTTGATTTAACATATGAATGTTGTTGGTTTTGGGTTTTAGGTAGGGAAGTTCGATTCAAAGAAGAGTGCGAGGCCGGTTTATCCTTTTGCAGCTATTGTAGGGCAAGATGAGATGAAGCTATGTCTCTTGTTGAATGTGATCGATCCCAAGATCGGTGGTGTGATGATAATGGGAGATAGAGGAACCGGGAAATCCACAACGGTCAGGTCGTTGGTCGACCTCTTACCGGAGATTGAGGTCGTTGCAGGTGACCCGTATAACTCGGATCCTTTGGATCCTGAGTTCATGGGTGTTGAGGTTAGAGAGAAGGTCGAAAGAGGAGAGCAAGTCCCTGTTATTGCGACCAAGATCAACATGGTTGATCTTCCATTGGGTGCAACGGAAGATAGAGTCTGTGGAACAATCGATATCGAAAAGGCTTTAACAGAAGGTGTCAAAGCCTTTGAGCCGGGTCTGTTGGCTAAAGCCAATAGAGGGATACTCTATGTTGATGAAGTGAATCTCTTGGATGATCATTTGGTCGATGTTCTTCTGGATTCTGCTGCTTCTGGTTGGAACACCGTTGAGAGAGAAGGGATCTCGATTTCTCACCCGGCGAGGTTTATCTTGATTGGTTCTGGAAACCCTGAAGAAGGAGAGCTTAGGCCACAGCTTCTTGACCGGTTTGGTATGCATGCGCAAGTAGGGACGGTTAGAGATGCTGATCTACGGGTCAAGATCGTTGAAGAGAGAGCTCGTTTCGATAGTAACCCGAAGGATTTCCGTGAGACTTACAAGACCGAGCAGGATAAGCTCCAGGACCAGATTTCAACTGCGAGAAGCAATCTTTCGTCGGTTCAGATTGATCGGGAACTGAAGGTGAAGATCTCTAGGGTGTGTTCAGAGCTCAATGTTGATGGGTTGAGAGGAGACATAGTGACTAACAGAGCAGCAAAAGCACTCGCGGCTCTCAAAGGAAAAGACCGAGTCACTGCTGATGATGTTGCGACCGTTATCCCTAACTGCTTGAGGCACCGTCTCAGGAAAGATCCACTGGAATCCATCGACTCAGGAGTTTTGGTTTCCGAGAAGTTCGCCGAGATTTTCAGCTGAACAGGATCATTTTCTTAACTTTTCGTACTCTGTAAACGGTGAGAAGAAAGCAGAAACAATAAACAGGCAAATTTGATTTGAGTATAGAGTATATGCTTTCTCCATTGAGTTGATTGAATGTAGTAGTTCAAACAAGCAGTGTATACTTTTCTCCATGAAGTTGATTTGAACTCTGTTTCTTTGCATCTACAAACATTCTTGCATTGATTTAGGCTAAAAAACGTTGTCAAGACCAACTGTAACTGTCTTGAATCGGTAGTGTCTGGCTTGCTGATTATAAGTCCATAGCGTTTTGCCGGTTCTGGTAAAAGTGTGGAGCAACTTCTGTCAGCCACGAAGGATTGATGGTGACGACATTCCTCATGTACTGACGCTCTGTTGAGACGATGGATTGGTAAACTACCCATTTCGGATTCACCCTGAAGATTGTATAAAAGTTTATACACAAACCAAATAAGTTTTCACAATCAAGCGAAAAATCTTTAAACTTTTTCATGTTATTAAGGTTTAAGCAAAATCCATAGTAACAGAATACTACTAACCTGAACAATACGGATGACGGGTGAATATAAACTTCTTCAGAGCCTCTGATGGTCTTGTACACCCCATTGCTGTGTGGCTAAAACATCATAAAAAATAAAAAGATGAAATTTAGATTTCTCTGTAAAAGGATTTGCAGAAACAGAGAAGTCAAATGGATTACTTACTTCTAAGCGGCATGCATTGGCGAAAAACCCTGCAGTCACTGCTTTTCTCACAGCCTGAAACATAGTATACAATGTAAGTATGTAACATTAAAAACATGCAAAAACAAATTTCAACTGAAGCCAATGTGGTACAGTTTATTACCTCCATGTCTCCGTCACATGATTTCAGGGTGATGCCTAATCTCCGAGCAATCCGTTTGAGTTGATCCCTGATTTCAACCACTTTTTTCTGTGGAAGGTAACAAAAACGTTAAAATTGGGATAAGGAAAATAAGGTCATGTAGCTAGTTCTGTTATTATACGCACCATGGATTGGTAGTTGAGGAAATTCTTGTAACACCACTGTGAAGACTTTTTCGACTCAAGGAACCCTTTGTATACATTCAGAAATGTGACATGGTCACCCTGAATAGACAAGAACGATGATTTTACTCGGTCAAAAAAGGATTTTCAAAGATAAAGTTAGCTCAAAGGCCAAAGCTATATAGTAATATGTACCTCCGCAGCTGCAAATCTCAGTTTTGCTTCATCTTGCTCTTTCTGTACTCCCCTGGCAATGACCCAAACGGACTGCATATAAATATATTCACGATTGTTATCCATTTAGTTTCAGATCCCAGAGTTCAGATTGAAAGCAAATCATTACAAATTTGCAATATGTCCCTTATGCATTTTAAGAGATAGCAGAGGGGGTAAAGAGCTTTTACTTGGATAGAGAGAACTGCAGCGATGGTAATGATCTCATCTGAACAACCAAGCTCACTTGAAGCTAAAATCATTTTCGATATCATTGGGTCCTAGCAAAAACGACGACAATGTAACTTTTAATAATGCAGTAGAAAATGCAAATGAACTTAATTTATTAGTTGAGCAATGGGAAATAAGTAACTCAAGATTAGTAAGAAAAAGTACCAGTGGAAGTTCTGCAACTTGGAATCCTGTTGGCGAAGTGAGTTTTGCATCATCATCGAGGATTTGAAGTGAATAAAGGACTTCAAGTGCCCGTATCATTGCTTGTGGGGATGGAGGTGCAGGCCAATCGAAACCTAAGATATTATCTATGCCCAAAGCTTTTAGCTGAATAAAAATCAACAGAGCTCATCAGGGAATTTACTTATTGGAAAATTGTAATGATAAACAAATTTTATGGTTTTCTGTAAGGCATCCCTAATTGCGAGTTCTTAACACACACAAAATTGTATATGACAAGAGTTGAGAAACTTTTGTACCTGTATCACAGTAGAAACAAGATTCGACCTCTGCATCTCTGGTATGCCTTCTCCAGGCATTTGCTTGAGAAAATAATCTTCCGTGTAAAGCCTAGTTAACACAAAAATGATTAACGTCAAAGCATGACGAGCATTAAACCATTCATTGTAAGAAAGTAAGAAATGAGATATATATACCACAGTCATTACAACTTCAAGTGACGCAAGGATATAAAATTACCTGTAACACTTTCCAGGCCGAACCCGACCAGCTCTACCAGACCTTTGTCTAGCAGATGCTTTGGATATTGGTGCCACCACAAGACTTTCGATATCTGAAATCTGTAAGGGTGAGAAATGTAAGATGCTTTAGATTTGTCCAATATATTATAAGGACGGAACTAAAAAGATATAAATATAAGAAATAGAGATGGACTTACTGGGTTATAGAATTTCTGCTTTGAGAAACCACTATCAATCACATAGACAACTCCCTGAATAAAGAAACAATCAATGATGTTCAGAAAATCATCCGTTTGTTCCATGAGATATGGAAAAAGTTGCGACAAGAAGACAATTATGAAGAATCCTTGCCTCCAGAGTCAAAGATGTTTCTGCAATATTTGTTGAGAGTATAACTTTTCTCTTTCCTCTGGGAGTTGGAGTAAAGATCAATTCCTAATAAGAAATGAGAAAACAACATTGCACGGTTTCAGTTTTTTTTCAAATACTCTCACAAGTATGGTTTAAGTTTGTCTAGAGCCGTGCAACAAAAATCAACCTGTTCCGATCGAGAAAGTCCTGAATATAATGGCAAAGGCAGCAGTCCTGAAATAGATATGCATTATATTATGGTGCTTAATAACTGAAGGTAAATGGTATAACTGATTGACAAATCTTATCTATAGAGGTATATAAACATTTATTATACCTGAAGAATTCTTTTGATTGCTATGAGCTTCTTCTGCAAGAAGTTTAATGGCAGTTTCAATATCATCTTGACCAGTTAGAAATACAAGAACATCCCCGGGTGGCTCCTGAACATAAGAAGAGACAATTTGAAGCTAACAAGCCCAAGGAAAAGAATGCACTATGATAGGTTAACACATGATATGGTTATAAAACATCAAATACACGTACCCGCTCATTAATCAACAATATCGTTGAAACAACTGATCTGATATAATCTGAAACAGGCTCCTCAACATAGTGAATTTTCACACTGAAGCCTCTGCCCTAAGAACATTTGATCAACAACAACAAAAATCACTTAAGTATCACATCGAAACAAAGGTTAAGAGAGAATGATCTTAAGCAGGATAAGAGTTACACTATACCTCGACAGATAAGATCGCAGGTTCCAACTTTGGTCCATGGGTACTACCTTCTGGCGCCTGGCGTTTCTTGCTACGTAATTTTACATAATGCATAAGTTGTACTAGTGATTCCAAGAGCCTAAAAGTTCAGGAGCAAAGAACTATAAAAATTGGTTAAGATCAGAACCTGGAATTGAAGAAATTGAACATTGCTTTTGCTTCGATTGTGGCTGACGAGATAATCAGGCGCAGCTCAGGACGACGACGTTGTATCTGGGATTAAAAATTTACAGGAATTGAGGAAAGCAAACTGTAAACTAAAAGAGAAGATCTCATGAAGTCTATGTCTGAATGCTATACCTTTTTTAAGAGACCCAGTAAAATGTCGGTTGAAATAGATCGCTCGTGAGCTTCATCTACCATAATAACACTACAGAATGACAAACAAGAGAAGGTTTGTAAACACTAATTACCAACCTAAAATCATAATCCAAACGAACCTATGCTGTGCAATAAACTCGTTACCTATACTTTGTCAAGAGAGGATCCTCCATCATTTCTCGGATTAGTACCCCATCTGTGAGAAACTTCACACTAGTCACACCCTGTTGTTACAAAGCAAAAGATCATTTTAAGAATCTTCAGAACACTACATACGATAACAAAAAGAAGTAAAAGAGTGTTCAGGAAAGAGTCTCACGGAAGTTGTATGATCTTCAAATCGAATTGTGTAGCCAACTTCATCCCCAAGATTCACTCCCATCTCTTCAGCCACTCTGGCAGAAACCGCCTAATTAAATCACAAAACAAAGAGTATATGTGATTCAAGCACGAATCTTCAAACTTGAGCTGTAATGTTTGGTGGAGGGAGAGAAAACAAACCTGGACAGCTAAACGTCTTGGCTGTGTGCAAGCAATAACTCGGCCTCCTTCAGCCCATCCAGCTTCTTTAAGGAACTGCAAAATAGTATAGAGAGAGCGTTTAAGGAAATATACTTGCGCGGAAGAAACAAGGAGATCTTGCTAGTGATTGAATTGATGATTTCTCCAAACTCTCCAGCTTCCCCAATATCTAGTGAGTTTAAACATTGCAGGATTTTGCAATATTGATTAAGTTTTATGCCTCTCTAGCTACATTGCAACTACTGTTAGGCTTCAATTCAAATCCAAATTCACAACCTTCCACTCCTATCAAAATGTGCGTATTGGTTTAAGAACCCAGAAATTACCAAAGCTGCGTATTTTCCCCAAGACAAAATCTCAAAGAGCAAAGAACGAAGAAGAAACCTGAGGAATCTGGGTGGTTTTTCCACTGCCCGTCTCGCCGACGATGATGGTGGTAGCGTGATTCTCCACCAGATACAGAATCTCCGTCCTGTACTTGTACACTGGCAATCTCTGCCTTTGCTTCTCCATATTCGCATACCCATAACTACGATTTCGATCACAAGTACATAATCATCAGCAGAACAAGTACGAGTATTACCAGCAGCAAGAGAAGGAGAAAATTGGCATACCTAGAAGAAGAAGAGGATGCGAGATTGTTGGACATTAACACTATGCCTCCTTCTTCATCCTCGACGAAACGAGGTTTCTCGGTTCCAGGTTTCCAAAACGCCATCTTTTATCCCCCCAAGACCTCTCCTTGTTTCTCAGTAAATATAAAAAGCTTTTCGCACTTATATGTCAAAAGTCTTTTGATTGTTCCACGGCGGAGGAAATCTCGGCGACGGCGCTACTGTGACCGGCGGCGATTTACACCTCGAACCTTCTGAGTTAAAAGCGATTAGGTTCGGTTTATCAAAATATTTCGATTCCAATTTAATTGGCACCTATCACGTAACAATGTAATTTTGGTTCAGTTTCAATTTTGTTCGGTTTAGATCGGGTATCTTTTCCCAGAAATATATTTCATTTAACATTTAAAAGAAAAAGGAAAAAAATGAAAATGTATTGTGTTGCTTCATCTGCGTTTCCTTCTTCTCATCACACCACTCTGCTCAACAACAAGCTCTCGCCTTTACCCTTCCGCCGCAATCGCAGCCACCAAAGTCTGAGACTTCGCCGTCGCAATTCTCTGATTAGAGGAATGAGAGCTGTAATCCAGAGAGTGTCATCTTCCTCCGTCGCGGTCAGTTTTTTTGCTATACTCTCTGTTTCTCTCCATCGTCGATGTAATGCGCAAAAATCCGGTTAGTTAATCTTGGACATATCGACAGGTCGATGGTCGAATTGTGTCGGAGATTGGCCCTGGTCTGTTGGTGTTAATCGGAATCCATGAATCAGATACCGATTCTGACGCAGATTACATGTATAGATTCTGTTAATCTAATTCTTTCTTCTTCTTTTTTTTTGAACTTTTGTTAATCTAATTCTTCCATCTTTTATTTCAGTTTTAAGTCTGCAAATTCTGAAAATTGAAAACATTTTGTAGATGCCGTAAAGTTTTAAACATGAGATTGTTCCCTAATGAAACCTCTGGCAAAGGATGGGACCAAAACGTAAGACCTGTCAACAATTTTTGTTTCAGTGAAATTCGTTTTCTTCAACATTTAAAAACAAAAAAAAAATCAATATTTTGCAGGTAATGCAGAGGAATTATGGAGTTTTACTCGGTTAATGCATCTTTTCTTTGTACCTTTGAATTTGATTAGAGCTTTCTAAGATGTGTTTATGGTTAATTTGTCTCCTTGGCTTTCTCTGATTATTGGATCGTCTGTTAATACAGTTAGTCAGTTTACATTGTACGGATTCTTGAAAGGCAACAAACCTGATTTTCATGTCGCAATGCCACCTGAGAAAGCAAAACCGTTTTACGCTTCTCTAGTCGAGAAATTCCAGAAAGCTTATAATCCTGATGCAGTAAAAGGTATAAGACACATTCTAAAGCTTGATCAGAACTTTACATTTTTTCTCCAGTTTTCTTAACTGAGTTGGTTTACTCTTTTTTTAATAACAGATGGTGTATTTGGAGCTATGATGAAGGTAAAAGATAAATCATTACAATCAACAGCCACGTTTGATTCGTTCTCTTGTGTGATTAAAACGATTTCTCTTGCTTATTATACTATCTCGCATTAAAAGGTCAATCTTGTAAACGATGGTCCAGTCACGATGCAGCTCGACTCATCCCAATCCTCCAAGTAAGCAAATATGTTTTGCATAAACTTTTTACGCATTGATTATTCACGAAAGCAAACTCTTGATTTTTTTTTAGGAATGAGACAAAGACATCAACATAATCATAAGCATCACTCACCTTCTATGGGTTGAAACTAAAGAATATATATATTCATGTGAAACATTCATAGTACATTGGAATGTAACTGTTAAGTCCTACGCTACATGTAAACATTTTTTTGCTTTTAATCCAATGAAAGCCTCTAAATTTGCTAAACATCTTGATTCCTAGACGCATTAAGCTTTTGCCTTGAGCACCATTTCTGCAGTAAACAACACTTCTTTTCCAAATGTTGAGATCTCGTTTTTCCTGCAAGAACACATGAAACATTTAAATTCAGAGTAAGGAAAGCTATATATATCCAAGAATTAAAAGTATCTTACTGATTCTACTCACTTTAGATTAGTAAATGCAGAGATGATACTATTGCATATCTCTGTTATAGAGTCGCTTTTATCAGGGTTAGCGATTGTGAGCCGAGCCTACAGATAGATAAAATCAAATTAGAGACGAGGAGGCAAAAGAAAAGCTATGAGAATGTGAAAAGAGAAACAAAGATATCATCATTATTACCAGAAAGGCATGTCCAATGAGGATCTGAACAATGTCAGGTCCTATCTTTTTGATGATGCTCTTTGCATTTGTACCATTTGAAAAAGTCTTCAAAATCCCATTTAGAGATTTCAAATCCTCTGCTTGAGGACCGTGCGATCTTCTGGTACGAACAGAAGGCTGCAACTAAAAAGATATTTCTTCAGATTGAACACACCATTTCTTGAAAAATTCAAAGGAACAGGGAAAAAATGAGAGGAATATTAACTACAAACCTTAGGTAAGTATTTAGTGAGGTATTGGAGAACAATCTCTAGCTTCAATTTAGGGTCGGCGAAAACCTGCTTGAGACATTTTCACTCAAGAACCATAAAGTGAAGAATCCAGACTATACAAAGAGTTTCAGAAGTCTCTTACCTGAAGAAAACTTGACAGCAAGTACCCATCATAAGTCAGCTGGTCGACAATAATCTCCATTGCAGGAGTCCTACATCAAAATAAATCAAAAACATAGCAAATACACAATTCAAGAAAGAAAGAGAAAGAGAGAGATGTAAATACCTTACGCCATCTCCTCTAGTGGTAATTCCTTCCATGTCAGCTTTCTTCTTTGATTCATCAAGCTTCATGATCTAAACAAGGAACAGAGGTGTGTTAGAAAAGAACTCCAAACATATTAAGTTTGTATCCTGATAATAACCAAAGACTTATACCATTACTAGAAGTTCCTTCATAGCAGAAAGTGTGCCCTTGTGCAACTCTACCAAACTTATAGATTTTCCATCAGCATCAAAGAGTGCATGTATTGTAGATAGACAATCTTTCATTAGAAGCTTGAAATTCACTTTTCTTGAAGCCTACAAGCGGAATCATAACATCAAACCAAGGATAAACTAAGTGGCTATGCTAGTTTCTGCCATTGGTTACGAGATGTACCAAGAGTAGATTCAGAGAGGATTCTTTTAAGAGACTCCAGTTCATCGTTTCTGGAGCACAAAAGGACACAAAGCTTCTGAAATTTTCCCAAAACTGTTATGATGGAGAGAAATTTGGAAACTACGAAGAAATCATTTTGTACCTTCATATGTTAGATTTCGAGGAGTGAAATCTAGCTTAAGAAAATGAACAAGATACTGGAACAGGAACATGTTTCCCAGGATCTGCAAGAATGGAAACAAAGAGCAACATGTTGTGTGAAGTCTGCAAAAACTTATTAAACGTATCTGCAGCAGAACAAATGATAATTGCAATATGTACAACCGAATGAACCAACCTTTAAATTAGATTCCTCTGACTCATTAACTCCGTTGTTAAGGTTTTGAATCAGTTCTTGAAACACTGAAATCAAAAAACAAGAAATCATAACAAACAAGAGCCAACAAAAAGCTTTCTCATAAGAGGAGACCGAGACAACGTCTTTAGGCTTACATGAGCTTCTCACTGATGACTCATTTTCATCAGAATCAACATCAGACCCAAAATTAAACGGTGACCAAGCCTGCCAACAAAACCAATAACAGACACACACGCATGAGATAAACCAACCCCACTATAACTAAGAATGGACAGAACACACATAAAAACATTTTAATAAGTACCTCGTCAACGATTTCCAACTGATGTTTCCCACTAGCAGCTGAATCAGATATATAAACCCAAGGGAATCGCTATACAAACAAGAAACTTAATCAGAAACTAAACTGTGAAAGTTGCACAAGTTTGAGACAAAAACTAACCAAATTTTCAATCTAGTACCTGGTGTAGCTGTGACAAAAGCTGGAAACTTGCTGTTATGAGTTCCAATGTTCTTCCGAATCTCAATATCTGGAAAATCGCTTGGTACATTTTGCTTCAAATTGAGAAAACCCAGATCAAAATCGTGACTCCTTTTCCAAGGAGAGAAAATCAAACTTTTTGATAGTATCTTTACTTGGTTGGAGGAATTCCGTTTTCGGGTACGAGTGAAGCGGCACGAACAGCTTCCAGATACTGCAAACCTAGGGTTCATTTCAAAAAGATCGATTTCAGCAGAAAACAAAGGAATTTATCGGAGGAAGAAAAAAACAAAAAATCAAAACGAAGATTGAATTGAGGAAACGAACGATCTTCGTTGGCGTCGCGATTGTCTTTAGTGCCGCTCGAATCAAGCATAGCCATTGTGTTTGCTTCCAAGCCTCCGCCATAGCTATTAATCACTCTGCTAGTATTACCCTTTTTCTCTCTCGACATCTTCTCTTTCGCAATCCACTAATTTCTTCTCAGCAGTACGCGGAGGAAGGAAAAAAAAATTGAGAAGAATCTTTACCAGAAATCAGAACGGGGAGAGAGAGATTCGTAGAACCCTAATAATCAACAGAAGGCAATTTTCCCGCCATGAGAGAATTGATTGGCGCAAAAAAGAGCTCCGTTGCCGGGACTCGAACCCGGGTCTCTCGGGTGAGAGCCGAGTATCCTAACCAGCTAGACTACAACGGATGTTATGACTGATTGAATGTTAACTTATATTTATTAGATAATATATTACGTTTACTTCAACATTTATAAGATTAGCTATTCTTTTCTGAACCAAAAACATTGATTTTTTTTTTGTAGATCAATTTTTTAATCGATCCGACTATAACCAATTAGTATCGACAGATCGAAAAAGATAAACCAACCAACTAAATGCATAGAGCTGAGTTTAACTGGTATCACTTTGAAAAACCGCACGTACATTAGATTTTATGCCCGATGAAGTTCTTTTCATTCATACTTGTTGGCCCAATCTAGATTTTAGATTCTTTTCAGCTTGATGCTTGGATTCGTTTACTACAATAACCGATTTTTTCTTTTAATTGTTCTATCACATATGTATGTATACTACTAATTAATATATAACAAAAATATGTATTGTCTACGTGAAAACAAAAAGACAGTCTACGTGTGAGAATTATAACACAACTTGTAGTCTTGTACATTATCTCGAACCACTTTTTTATGTTTGTGTCATCAGCTAGACATTGTATTGTTTTTCAATATTGTAAGTCAAATATGATATCTCCTTCGATATTTTATAATTATATTTATTATTATGATATAAAATAATGGGAAAATACGTGCGCCCAAAACTTTACTTGAAATGTAATTCATGAAGTTTGAAAAATAATTTATCTATGAACAACATGGATTAGAACGTAGCATAGTTTATTTGTGTACATTTAATATTTGCCGATAATTGAGAATCTTGAGATGACTTGAACCTATCATGCAAATTATAAAGTATCTCTTTGATGCATTGAATATAGAATTTAATCTTTTTTTCAATTGTGAGCTATGTTCAAGCGTGTGGAATATATTATATATCCTATTCAATTTATAAATATTAAATTATATCTGTTTGGGGGGGGGGGGGGGGGGGGGGGGGGGGGGGGGGGGGGTTGGGGGGGGGGGTTTGTCTGTAAATTCAATCAGTAGATATAAGACGTTTACACAATTAGTAACTGTAGAGTATTTTTCGAGAATTCTCTAACACTTAGATTATAATATATAAAAACCCGCAAAATATTGATATGTCGAAATAGAAAAGGTCAGAAAACAAAATGAGAAAGTACATTACACCGGACCAAAAGTAATCATTTTAATGTAACTATGTAACTATCATTTGAGTGATCATTTTAATGGTAAGAAACCAACAAAAAAGTATTTTAGGAGAAATAACTAGAGAAATAGTAGAAAACGAAGATAAAACTAGGATTTGAGGTCAAACAAGCTAAGTCTAGTCGGATATAGATCTATTGGTTCATTCGTGTATTAATATATAACATTAGTTTTGCCAGTTGGCCGGCAAGTTAATTATAGAATGCATGATGATACATAGTTTGTACTTGTTGCATCGCCTTTGGTGTTGTGAGATCATCAAAGTATACATTTGGTCTTTCCTAGATGCAGAAGACAAATCATTTTTGAAAGTAGTTTGTTACTTACTAAATGAATGTCGAACAAAAGTTTAAACATATTTTGATTTTTGAATAATAAAAATCCTATATCTTTGTAGGATTTTGCGCTCTAAGAATACAAATATGTACTTGGGAATTACGATATATGTCGGATTGGCTAGATCGATTAATTATTCATCTTTTTTAACACTTTATTTTATTGATCTTCATTTAGAATAATTACAATATAGAAGAAATCTTACAAATAAAATACAGAGAGAAACCAACGATATTTCCCAACAAATTTATAAAGAGGAATTTTTTTGATGATATATTGGCGATACCAAAACAAAAAGCTTGAAAATGTTAATGAAAAGGTTAATAAAAGACGTTCTTGTACCCATAATAGTAGACAGATTTCTTATACTTATGAAGACAACATGACAATAATTCTCACAATGTAGATAGATATCTTCTTTAATTAAACTTGAACTTTCCAATCAGATCAGTAAAGCAGAAGTGGAGAGTGGATGATTCAAACTAGTAGCATCGAATCTCTAACGGGAAAAGTAAAATATTGAACTGAAGAGAAACCAAACATGTTTTTAATAAAAAAACAAAAAAAAAATCTGATAATCCCAAAACAGAAAAGCCACTAGAAACCAGATCTAAAAGGTAGATAAAAAACAAAGCAAAACAAAATAAATCTAAGGCATTTAGAACAAGTTAAACCGAAGATCAAAGCGATCCAGCATCCCAAACCAAGTTTATGCCTAAATCCAAATAGATCTGCAAAACAAAATTTCTAAAATCGAATTTGATATATAAAAGCCAAAACTAGTGGCTTAGACAAAAAAGAAAACAAAGAAAAATAAACATAAACTCGACTCCAGTGCTAAAAGAATCACCAAAGCCAGAAATTAGAAAAGGGAGGGTGGTGGCTCTGGGAAAGAAATTTAGAGTTTTTGGACTCTATTCATCAAAATTTTACTAACTCTATCGATTAATTATTCATCTCTTAATCATATATTTACCAGCTAACAACAACACTACAAGAATTTAATGGGAGTGCCCTCATTTTGCATCGCTTGTACCTCTGACCACTCGTCCCTTTAAGTCCTCTTATACCTCCTAACAATGGTATAACAATGTGTCACGAGACCATGTTATTGTAAATAATGAGATTAGGGTTCAGTGATCTTCTCTATCAAATTATTCAGGATACCCAAATCCTTTTAAAAACAACCCAAATAATCAAAGTAAGCAAATGGCAATGAAAAGTCCGTTCAAATTAATTACACATAATCATTAAAATAATTCCCTAAATACAAAAGTATACTTATCCCAACAATACTTAAATTATTTTCTATGTGCCTCTCATCATTGTGTCAAATCTTTAGACCGACGAAAAATCGTCTGATACGTATAAATTACTTGTAAAAAAGGTTACTAATGACGTAGTTTTTACATTTTCTTGTTTTTACCCTTTTATGTATGGATGTTTACCCTTTGTAAGATCCAAGTTAGAAAGATATTTGTAAAAGCTCCTCCCCGCTCTTTCTAAAACCATGGGTGAAATATACATATATATCTTTTTATTACATAGTTCCTTAACACGTTGTCAACACGAATGATTCCTTCCACATGCTCTAATATCTCTTCATATTATAATTATTAACAATATCAACAAATTTAACCCATAAAACTGAGAATTGCCGCTGTATAGAAAGTTATATTAGTATTGAGATTCATCAATCCAATTTTAAACTAGTAATTTAGAAACTACATTTAACTAACAGTTCGATCCTTGCAGTTTTTCAAAACGGACTTGTGCCTCTCGTGGGAACACATCATAGATTCTCATGAAGCGTGAAACTCAAGATTAATATATCACAAAAGTAAACACGAAAATTGTGGGTACGTACTAGAAAACGCGGTTGTACATAATTACATATTAAACAGTCTTTTAGCTGTGAAGAAAACCCACTTTTTAGTCATGCATGCGTGTATATATTCAAAGAAAATAATTCTGTTATATGATGTAGTTTGACAAAACAAGATGTTAAACAAATACTCTGCATCTGGTCTTTTTCAAGAGTACACAATCTTATTATTGTTATTTTTATGAACAAGAGTACACACAATCTTGATACTTCAACATTTAAGTAATATTAATAAATATATTAACTTTGATATCAGATTATCTCTATTCATACATAATCCACAATGATACGTGCGAGTCCACATCTAGAAAACCCTGATTTTCCGAGGAACCTAAAAGCCTCCATGAAATGAGGTGGTCAGTACCTTGGAACACAAGTTTCACCAACTGTAACTCCCAATTATCCTGCCGCCGATTTCCCATTCAACCCACACACAAAAATCCCCAAAGCAACATTCTCTTTATAAACGCTATAAGTTCTACCAACAAATACTCCTCTTCAATTCAGAAATGGCTTTTGGCAATATCCAAGAACCAGACGGGGAGATCCTAAAGAACGTTTGGGCTAATTTCATCAGAAAACCAGAAACCGATGAAAGATCAGTCCATCTTCCAACAGTTTCTAGAGCTTGGGAAGCATTGCCTACCCTTGATCACGTGCCAGAAGAATCTAAACATAGCCTTCCAAACCTAGATATGTCGATGGAGGCCAAGGAATGGTCAGAGATTCTCGACGCGATTGCTTCTGTCCCAAACGAAACCAATCATGACTCATTAACCAACGCTCCCGCTACCTGTTCTTTATCTTCTCGTGTTTCTTGCAAAACAAAGAAATACAGGGGAGTAAGGAGGCGTCCGTGGGGGAAATTCGCAGCAGAAATCAGGGATTCGACGAGAAATGGTATTAGGGTTTGGCTAGGGACGTTCCAGACTGCAGAAGAAGCAGCTATGGCGTACGATAAAGCCGCGGTTAGAATCAGAGGAACTCAAAAGGCTCACACAAATTTTCAACTCGAGACGGTTATTAAAGCTATGGAAATGGATTGCGTCCCAAGTTACTACCCGAGAAACCATACGTCCCAACCGTTCAGATTCAGCCGCGAACTTGGTCTGAGGACAGAAAAAGAGGCGATTAGGGCTTCTAATAAAGTGGTCGATGGTATAGTTGAAAACCATTGTGCCCTTTGTTATTGTTCAAGTAAAAAGAACTCGGAGCCTTTTACATTGTTTGGGAGTGAAGAAATTTGGTTAGGTTCAAGAAAGAGACAAAGAAGTGATGAAGACTGTATGTTTCAAGAAGTTCAGACTGATAAGATGAAGAACATGGTTACTGGAGACGAGACATTATGTGATGTGTTTGGTTTGTTTGAGTTGGAGGATCTGGGAAGTGATTATCTGGATACGTTATTATCTTCTTTTTGACAGAAATACATTAAAACATTACCGGTATTGAATTATTTGTAATTATACATACATATGTATACATGTATATAATGTAAAACCACGTTAGAACAATTAATTCACTATTTATAAATTTCTTCACTTGAGATTCATGTAGATATCGATTATATCTTGTAAGTTGCGTTTTCTTCTATATATTAGTAAGTAGTTTTGATAAAATTTCAAAAAGAAAAAACGAATTATAACGTAGGTACATCGTCTATGTTTTAATTAATTATGTAGTTTAATAAATAAAAAGACTACTAGGATCATCATCATTATAGTAGCTACTAGCCGACTACCACCCAAATCTTAGTGCAAGTTTGGTACTAACATGTTCATTTAGTTATTTTAGTTATTATAGCTATTTTAAGTATATTGATTCATTAGTTATAAATTGGGGCTTGTGTGTGTAAACATGTTTCGAACTTCTATTTTGTGTGTATACATGTTTCGAACTTCCATTTTGTGTGTAAATAGATTTTAAACTTTTATTTGGGGCAAAATAGAGCGAGGTCTAAACTTTGGTTACATATGGTGTTATAAGGAGAAATAGATTGTTCGTTGTTCTATAGGTGAACAAAAGTAAACATGTTTCTCAATAATCTCAGAAGGAAATAGGGAAGGGAAGGAAGTAATCTCAAAGAGAGAGTATTTCTCAATGACTTTAATGAGAAAAAAACTAATTAAGTCCAAATGACTAAGAGTTTGGACGATTCAATTACAAAATAAGAATTATGTATGGATGATATTATCTATTTGTCGATCGAACAAACTCCATTTAGTATAATTTTTGAAGACACTAGAAAGTTTAAAACACATGGTGAGGGAATTTATGATGTTCCTTCTGGTTGTCGAGAATTCGCTTCATCATATATAGAATATCTAATGGATTTTGCCGAATGTTGCTTAATGTTCGTTTGAAGTATGATATTTTTTTTTGCCCTTTTTATAAAAAAAAAAGTATGATATTTTTTGGTTGGTCGAGATTAGAAAAGAGAAATGAAAACTTTAACTAAAAATATTCTTTTGACGACTAACTTCTTAATTATATATTATATATTTTAGATGATTTTTTTGTAAAAATAATCAAAAACTAATAGATGTCCATACGAAAATATAACATAAAGGAAGTTTGACTAAAAGATTTTTAAAAATAAGCTACAATGGTGTGGTTGTTGTTCACATTTCACATCTCAACCTGAAAGTGTAATAAGTAGGAAAAGCAGGGGTAAATATGGAATTTACAAAAAGGCACCTGGCTTTTTTTTTTTTTTAATCGGAATCCTCTAAAACCCTAAACACTAACTTATGGTCAGCACATGTGCGCCAAGCTTTTTCACTCCCTTCGTCGTGCTTCTAAGCTCTGCAATCTCTAATATCACAAATGGAGCTCAATTTTTCTTCGATGGCTTTAGCCAACAACAAAACCCCTTGTCTCGGCCTTATACCCACTGGAACACTCTCAAGCCCATCAAAATCTCTGTCCTTGGCTTCTCATCATCCGCTTCCCAGAGTTTCATTCTCCCTTTCTTCTACTGATTCTCTCAAGCTAATCACTTCGAGAAAAGTAAGATTTTTTTTCCTCCTTCAACGATTTTTGCTCTCCGGATTCTAATTTCAAGCCGAATTGTCTTGTTGGTTTATGTCGAAATGCTGTGTATTTGGATGTAATCTGATGTTTTCAATGTGCATTGGCGATAAAAAAAATGGTGACTCCAGGTGTTAGCAATGGCTGCGTCGAGTTCCAGAGACTTGGAGATGTCGAATTTAACGGCATTATCGCCTTTGGATGGACGTTACTGGGGAAAAGTTAAGGAATTGGCCTCTTCTATGAGCGAGTTTGGGTTGATCTATTTCCGAGTGCTTGTCGAGGTACTTCCTTGTGAAATTCAACGCCTTTGTTACTCCCAAGTGAATGTTTATGATCTGATTCATTGATTGAGAAGATGATTGATGTTGTTCTGTTTTGGTGGACGAATCAGTGTGAGTAGTTTAGTTGTCTGTTCTAATGCACCCATTTACAAAAAACCTTTTCTTTTGCTAGATCAAATGGCTTCTGAAGCTTTCGAAGATTCCTGAAGTCACCGAAGTTCCGAGCTTTAGCAAAGAAGCTGAGATGTACTTGCAAGGCATTATCGATGGGTTTAGCATTGATGACGCGTTGGAAGTTAAGAAGATCGAGAGAGTAACGAATCACGATGTGAAGGCAGTGGAGTATTTCTTGAAACAAAAGTGTGAATCACATCCAGAGATTGCTAAGGTTAGCAAAATAGAAACCTTTCTCTGTCTCCCTAGTTCATAGCCATTCCTTGATGCATTGTAACTAAATTTTCTCTGTCTTTTAATCAATTCAGGTTCTTGAGTTTTTCCATTTTGCTTGCACGTCTGAGGACATCAACAATCTTTCCCATGGTTTGATGCTTCAAGACGCTCTTAGCTCTGTTATACTCCCAGCCATGGATCAGCTGATCAAGTCAATCTCTCTGATGGCTAAGGAGTTTGCATATGTTCCCATGCTTTCACGAACTCATGGGCAGGTAATCTCAAAAGAAAAGACTTTCACTATTTTGATTCTGTCGATTTCTTTGGATTTTGTTTGATATGGATTGTAAATGCAGCCAGCTTCGCCTACAACTTTGGGGAAGGAGATGGCGATTTTTGCTGTGAGGTTAAGTGAAGAAAGGAGATATCTTGCAGAGACTAAGCTTAAGGGGAAATTTGCTGGTGCTGTTGGGAACTATAACGCTCATATTTCCGCATATCCTAATATCGACTGGCCTCATGTCGCAGAGGAGTTTGTTACTTCTCTCGGATTAACATTTAACCCATACGTGACTCAGGTAATATATAGTTTTATCTTGATTCAAACTTTCCCTGTGGAACGAATTTGTTAACATTTATAAAGTTCGTTAATGATTGATGATTCTTGCGGTTTTTTGTAGATTGAACCTCATGACTATATGGCTAGACTTTTCAATACAATCAGCCAATTCAACAACATCTTAATTGATTTCGACAGAGATATATGGAGCTACATATCTCTAGGGTACTTTAAACAGGCAAGTGTTTGTTAATGGAACAAAAGATTGATGTTGAATCATTTGAATGCGATTGGGAAAACCATCTCATTGTTTTGAAAATTTGAAGCAGATAACTAAAGCGGGTGAAATCGGATCATCAACAATGCCTCACAAAGTGAATCCTATTGACTTTGAGAACAGTGAAGGGAATCTAGGGAAAGCAAATGCAGAGCTTACTTTCCTCAGCATGAAGCTTCCCATTTCACGAATGCAGGTTCGAACATTTTCTCCATAGACTATGTAGCAATGTGAATACAACAAAGCCTCAAACTTGTACAATCTGCAGCGTGACTTAACAGATTCAACTGTCTTGAGAAACATGGGTGGCGCTTTAGGACACTCTCTTCTCGCTTACAAGAGCGCGATACAGGGAATCGGGAAGCTTCAGGTATTATTATTACCGTAGTCTTAAGAAAGGTTTTCAGCTTGTCATAGACTAAGAATGTTCTTGATATAGGTTAATGAAGCTCGGTTAAAAGAAGATTTGGATCAAACTTGGGAAGTCCTTGCTGAACCGATACAAACTGTAAATTTCTCTCTCGACTTTCTAGTCTTCTATAACGATCTAGTTACCCCATGTATCACTAATTCACGAGATGGTCATAATAGGTGATGAGGAGATACGGTGTTCCAGAGCCGTATGAGAAACTGAAGGAGCTAACAAGAGGAAGAGCTGTGAATGAAGAAAGCATAAGAGAGTTTATCCAAGGTTTGGATTTGCCTGAAGAAGCAAAGTCTCAGCTTTTGAAGCTTACTCCACACACATACGTTGGTGCTGCTGCTGCATTGGCTTTGGCCGTCGATGAAGCTGTACACTTGGGACATTGATGATGATCAAATCGGTAATAGATTCTACTTGTTGTATTATGATTCTTTTCCAAATCAATGGGAAAAATAGTGTCAATTGATAGATTGATTACTTATTCGTTTAGAATGGTGCGAAAGATTATGCACTGTTGTTGTTTTGTTTTCTCTCTTTGAGTTTCACCAACTAATACAGATCCTCTATTTGATCTAGAAGTCTTGGATTATATAAGTGGTCATGCACAATGATTCTTGAAAGAATAAAATAGTACGGTAATTTATAGAGGCAATATATAATTATAGAACTGATTATTACACTGGAGTCAAATGACTCAAACAATGACAGAGTTCACAAGTTGATTTATTTTCTTACAATTTTCTTATCTTTCTCTAAAATCATGGATCAAAATCTAGACAACATGAATGCATAGTCAAATAATTTATCCGAGAAACAAAACTGAACATAATGTTGAAAATGTCAATTAAGAGCGTTTAGTAATTCAATTTCTTTTGTTACCTGATGGCTGTAAATAAACATTACAAAGTACTAAGTAATGTTCTTCAAAAAGAAGATTTATTTGTTTTCTATTTAAGTTGGTAGGAAAAGTCAGATGATTTATATATTTAAAATCTTTTCTCATTCAACTAAGCCATGTGTCTGTCAATAATCTCACCTCTACACATATTTAAGTGTATTTTACAGCAATTTCTTAAAACACATAAATTGAATATCATCATAAGGAAGGAAAACATAAATAATATTTTCCTACATATTTTCCTTACACATTGCTATCACTTTATTTATGGTAAACAATTATAGTGATTTGATACGACCAAAGCCACAAATTAACTTGAATAAATATTCATTTTCTTTGTTTGCTCTTAAATAAATATATTTATTCCTACAAGTGTATTTGTTCTGCGTTTACCAGTTCATGGCGGCCATAAACCTCGAGATTTCGTCAAACATGTTTGTTCTCTAATCTTTACAACGACTTTCAAAACATATACATAATTCATATATATAGAAAACATATACAATAATAACAAATCATTGATCCTAATTGATTTTTTTTTAAAAGACAATAACAAAACCAATAAGGTTTCGTCGTTACCCACTACCTTTGTTTTGATTTCATTACAAAACACAACAACACATCATTTCATATCATATTATCATTGCAACATCTCTCTAGATTTTATTACATCGCTCGAAAGATTTCAATTGTCTTCTTGCGTTCAAGACAAAAAAAAAAACACATCGATAATGGGAGCTTACAGAGCCGACGACGACTACGATTATCTCTTTAAATTAGTACTGATCGGAGATTCCGGCGTCGGAAAATCCAACCTTTTGTCTCGATTCACCAGAAATGAATTCAGTATCGAGTCAAAGTCAACCATCGGTGTCGAATTCGCTACAAGAAGCGTTCATGTCGACGAGAAAGTCATCAAAGCTCAGCTTTGGGACACCGCCGGTCAAGAAAGGTAAAAAAAATGATCATAACCTCTCTGTTTCTTCCTTCGATCTTTATGCTTAATGTTTCACCACCGGAACAGTATATTAGCTTAAACCGGTCGAAACAAACGGAATTGCTTATAACTAAATTCGAATTGGGAAAAAAAATTGATGTAACTACACAATACATAACCAAAATATTTATAAAAAAAAATTGAGAAAAATACATAACCAAAATATTATTTGGACCATGTTTAATTAGAATTATTAATAATTTAATATCTATTTTTAACCAAAACAACTGAATTCAAATTGAGAACCAAACCGGAACTAAACCAAATCACAAATGGTTTAGTTTAGTTTTTGAGCATTTTTGTTTTCTTGTTATACAGATACAGAGCAATCACGAGTGCATACTACAGAGGAGCAGTAGGGGCTCTTCTAGTATACGACATAACTCGACACGTAACGTTTGAAAACGTTGAACGATGGCTCAAGGAGCTTCGTGACCATACAGATGCTAATGTTGTGATCATGCTTGTTGGAAACAAAGCTGATCTTCGCCATCTTCGTGCGGTCCCCACAGAAGAAGCTAGATCGTTCTCTGAAAGAGAGAACATGTTCTTCATGGAAACTTCTGCTCTCGATGCTACAAATGTTGAGCAAGCTTTCACTCATGTCTTGACTCAGATCTATCGTGTAATGAGTCGTAAAGCTCTTGATGGCACTGGAGATCCAACGTCTTTGCCTAAAGGACAGACAATTGATATCGGAAACAAAGATGATGTTACTGCTGTTAAATCCTCTGGTTGTTGCTCAGGTTGAGATTGTTGTTTTCTTTTTGGAGGGAGAAGGAGTTTTGGTTTTTGGATTGGTTGTATCTGAAATTACGTTTTTTTTATCGGAGGGGATATGTTTTAAGGTCATGAGACCGGTTTGGTTTTACAACACAAGCCGAATTTGTATCGAAAAATGAACAAGACTTGGTCCGGTAATAAGGTCGTTTTAGTTGTGAAACTAAACTGAACCGAACTGAAACTGGGGAAAAAAAGGAACTTGAAAAATGCATCCGTAAACATGTAACTTAATTTCGTATCTATAGTATTTCTTTTTAATATGTTTAATACTTTGTTGAGCAATTGACTTCTTGCTTTTCTTTGCAGTTTTGTATATATATATATATATTTTTTTATCAACAGCTTCGTACTCTTAAAAGGATCCAGAAAACCAGATCGGTGAAGTTGAGTTTACATAATTTAGATGATAAATGTAGTCTCGAGTACTCCATGCTAACTTGTCCGCCTTTGTGTTCTGCGCGCGGAGGATCTTTGAGATCGAGAAGAAAGCAAACTCTCTTTTACTCCTTTCATATTCCTCCAAATGTAGAGAGAATGTCGGCCACTCTGCTGGATTGGACTCCATCTGCAATTTTGTATCTTTTGAATATGGATTTTGTTGCAAACAGATCTTAGTTAATAATCTAACTATATAACCACATTTATTCATTTGAATTTTATCAATTTTACCACATGTAAAACTATAAGAGACAACCGAACCAAATCAAACCTGAGAAGACACCAAAATGTTTGTCTTACCTCTCATACTACACATGTAATTTGGTGTAAGATTTTGGTTGTGATTTTTCCTCAGCAGATGAGTAGTCGACTTGAATTGAAAGTTGGAACCAAGAGTTGGTACTTGGTGTTAAGAAAGGAAGAGACTAGGAATGGGAAACCTATTCATAATGTGGTGAACATCAATCAAACATTTCATTGTATCCAATTTCCTATTAATAACTGGTTAGGTTATATCCTATCCGAGAAAATATGACATATATTTTTCTTAATTACATTTGCTTGCGGAATCTGATCGTAGATCTTCGTGGACGATCATCTGCGGGCTTCTACTTTCTTCACTTCTCTAGATGCAATATGTGAAATAACTTAAGATCTTGCTTTTTTCATTTGAACATTGTGATTCATTAGAGCAAATTTACACTTACACAATATTCAGATTAATTTATTTTCAGTTTTTGGATGCTACATCTCTTTTTTTTGTTGGTTAAATTAGATCTCTCATATAGTTATATACAAGATACCATATACATCAATACATACAACATAAAGTATAATATACAGAGATCGACGTGAAATGAAGAAATAAAATAAAAATAAAAACTTAATTATTTACCAAAAACCAAAAAGAAAGAGAGAAGACTTACCTTGTTCCACACGGAGCCAAGTTAGGTCCACCGTCCAAATTATGACAAGATCTTTCCTTCCAAGTCTTATCAATAACATGCGGATGCTTATTGTTTCGTACACTTGACAATCATCACAATTTATGCATCTTTAATTCTATCAATTCATGCAGATAATTATTTATGATGATTAATAAAAGTGGGTTGATTCACTTTTTGCGTGCTTACTCAACTCTTGGGCTTTCTGATATTAAATGGCCCAACTTATTGAACATTCTTCTTTTGGAGATGTAACGTGCAGGTCTCAATGCGTGTCTCATATGATTTCCGATTTCGTAAATTGACGTTAGTTAAAAACTGTGCAACTTATCTAAATACAAAAACTGAACCATTAAAAAAAGGAACCATAAAGGTAAAGGAAACGAAAAATCGTGGTTGACGACTAAGCACTCTACGTTAAACATATGTCTACCTTATCTATTTTTGTTAGACCTTACTTGACCTCCACGAAGGATCACTGGATCAGTCTTGTCTTTTAAAGTAAAATTACTAGAGAATCGAATGATTCTCAACACAAGCAAATATGATTATGATCAAAGTTCTTGTTTCAAACGTTCGATTAAGATATTCTTTATACAACGTTCTTCTCGCTGACATTTGACATGGTCTAAATAAAAGTTTTCAAAAAAAAGTAAAAGATTTAGTAACGACATGGAGAATTGTTCATGGGAAAGTACTTATCATCAGACTCACACATGACACATGTCACGATATTCCATAGAATCCTTAAAAAGGATTTAAAAACAACCGTATCAAAATCATGCAATTAATCATAACAAAAGGGGTTATCTATTCATCTATCAAATAAAGAATGGTGTGCAAGAATATGCTTCACTTAAACAAAGACATTGGTTTGGTCTCAAAGGTTACTTGCAAGGCATAACAAAAAGTGTTAAGTAGCTTTTCTCTCACCCCTCTTACATACCCTCTACGTACTTAAATATCATCATTATTTCCTTTCTTCCATCGAATCATTTCCCAAAATCAGAGAAAAAACCATAGATAATGAGCAAAGAAAAAAGCTTGGAAGATATGGAGATCAAAGTTGTTGAAGATCATCAAAGAGATACTACTAAAGAAGAGATCGAAAAGCCACTCCTAGAAGCAAACAAAGACTTTCCGGATATAGAAAGAACAACATGGATACAAAAGGCAATAGGTCAGACGTTTCAAACCACAGCTCATTTAGCCAATCTCTTACCCACAGGAACGGTTCTTGCGTTTCAGCTCTTATCCCCAATTTTCTCAAACGGCGGTCAATGCGATTTAGCTAGCAAGATCATGACATCGATTCTAGTGGCCATATGTGGATTCTCTTGTTTCATACTTAGCTTCACGGATTCTTACAAAGACAATAACGGTACTATTTGCTACGGATTCGCAACAATGCACGGGTTTTGGATCATCGATGGATCCGCGACGCTTCCTCAAGAGTTATCTAAAAAATATAAACTAAGGTTTATAGATTTTGCTCATGCTTTCATGTCGTTATTGGTGTTTGGTGCGGTGGTTTTATTCGATCGCAATGCGGTGAATTGTTTTTTTCCGGCACCGTCGGCGGAAGCGTTGGAGGTTCTTACGGCGTTGCCGGTAGGCGTAGGTGTGTTTTGTAGTATGTTGTTTGCAACATTTCCTACAACACGCAATGGTATTGGCTTTCCACTTTCTGCTAAATGATATCTTCTATATATATGTAACTTTTTCAATATTCTTTCGTTTGATGATCTCTTAAAAGAGACTTATTACAAAAGTCATGTAAACTGTTTCTGATAGAGATGTATTTAAGTTAATAATAGCAAAAATATGCTAATCTTAACATTCATGAGTGTGTTTAATCGTTCAAATTTATCATTCTTATTAAGAATCTAATAAGAACCCAATTTAATAAAATCCACCAAATCACAATTCAGTACCCCCACTAATCTATCATATATATCAATCATCGGCGCCATGTTAGCTCTAGATCGTTTATAACATGGATAAACGTAAAAAAAAAGAAAATAATCTGATTTCTATAACAAATTGCACTTCTTAAAAATCAAAACTAAAAAGGAGAGGTAATTTAGATTACCTCACTAGCCACCACTCGAAGGTGAGAGCCAGATAAAGCCACAAAGCAACGAGTTTTTAATTCGTGGCCAAGTGTATGAGATGTTATAAGATGTTAAGAAATCTTACATACATTAAGGTACCATCGAACTCATGGCCTGTGGTAACAGGTTAGGAAACACAACCATTTAGGTGGGATCGAATTGGTTACATAATCTTTAATAAAAATATAGTTAACGCTTAATAATAATTAAACGGTTCTCGGTTAAAACCGGTTCGTTGAATAATTTCACAAACCAGAAACAATTCGAGGGTAAAGCCGTAAAGAATCGGAATGTTAAGGATATATCTCATCATTCTTTTCCTTTTTTTCCTTTCTAAGGACAGTCCAATTTTCGTCATCACTAAACTAATCCCTCAAAAAGCTTCATCTTGTCTAAAACCCCTAAACAAATCATCCTCAATATTAACAGAGTCCTCAAGTTTGCGATAACATCTTCTGATTTCTGAACCAAGGTCTTATCCATAGATAATTTGTTTACAATATCACAAACAAGTTCACATACAACAACAGCTTTACAGAGAAAGGTCAATCATTTATGACATAGAAGGAATGTGATTAAACATCAATTATACATAAAATATTTTTGTTGATGTTTTTATTTCTTTCAACGGGTTTGAAGATTCTGATACTTGCGAGAGAGCCTATGATTACCAAGAACAGATGGACCTTATAATTATAAAGTAATTATAACTCACATCTTTTTCTTTCACCATTTTTCTCATCTTACAAGTTTAGCTTTAAGTAAAATAGAAATTAAAAAAGGAGGTAATTTAGATTACCTCAATGGGGTCTCTTCCATGGCAGAGACACAAAGACAGTTTCATTCCCCAGGGGGAAGAAGGATCTCCAGATTATACTGGGAAGGTTCTCGAGCCTAAGTGCTCGGAAAAGAAGCAAGAGAATTTTATTTCTCTGCCAGATCGGTACCAATATGTTTCGAACCCTAGTGGGAGTTGCAACTCTTTATAAGACCCAACCACCTTGAACGGGCTCGAATTGGTGTCTTATGTTGTATTTTATTTGTAGTTATATTCTCTGCCGTATCGAATTGAATCAAACTTTTCTCGGTTTAGACCGGTTCGTTAAATAATTTCACAAACCAAAAACAACAATAAAGCCGTAAACTGCAACTTTCCTCACTATCAAATTCATCATCCGCATCTTTGTTTTCCCTTCTTTTTTTTCTAAGGACAGTTCCAATGTTTTTTTTTTTATAAAAAGGGCAAGGACGGTTCCAATGTTCCTTCTTGAAACTTTTGTTCTTCGAGATTCCAAGTCTTTGTGTTCCTGTAGAAATATAGATTCAACCCCAATCTGATTGTGCTTTTGTGTTTCTCGAAAGATTTCTCTTTAGTCATCACTAAATTTAGAGATACCTCAAAATCCTTCATCTTGTCCCCTAAACAAAGCATCTTTCAAGTTCATATTCTCTCGTAACAGAGTCCTCAAGTTTGCGACAACATCTTCTGATTTCTGAACCAAGGTCTCATCCATAGTTTCTCCCATAGTCATTGCAAAGCTATTTTAAGCCTTTCTGAGTTATGACACTGTGGGGGTTGTTGAGCAAAACTTCTCTTGTTCTCAGAGCCGTGCCTACAATAATAGAGGCCGGAGGTGATTAAAAAAATATTCAAATTTATATAAAACAATTTTTTTATGAAATTAATTTTTCTCTTCAAAATCATATATATATATATATAATATTCACAGCATTTTTGGAAAGTAAATAAAAAAATTTCCCCCTTTAAAAAAGAGAATTAAAAAGAAAAGCTTATTTTACCAATAAAAATAATTTTGTATGATTTTTTAGAAAATGTTCAGAAAATGTGGTGTTAATGTAATCAATTTTAAAATAGAGCAACACTATTAGCCTTAATTATTTAATGCTTATAGGTTTTATTATTTTCACTAGGGGTTAGCACGGGTATTTTTATCTGCAAGTTTTTACTATATTTGTAAGTGGAGAGTAACGTACATAAATAATTGAACAAAGTAAAGTTTTTAATTTTATTTTTGGAAATATAGTTTAGGCCAAAAATTAATATTGATTTGATTATATTTAAGATCTAAATATAAGATTGATGTTTGATTTTTGAGTTGGTATTTTCTTTTTTCCGATTAAGAATCAAATTCAAAAGATCTTTTAATAGTTTTTATTTGTTTAGTTTTTCTTTCATTTTGTATATAAGGACTATACATAAACTCATAAATAAATGGTAGGTATATTTTATGTGTTTTATTTTTAAGATATTAATAAATACGTATGTTTTAAATGGTCCAGCCATAAATTACTCATTTTGACTATTTGTAGCATAACAATATGAGTTCAAATTGTATGGTAGCTTTCATGTGTTCTGACATGGATTAAAAACTGCTTAAACAATTAAAACTAAAAATATGGACTAAAACATAACAGTCAGACGACTTCATTAATTTGAAAAGACAACATATTATGATATTTGTAGGCAACATATAGAAGCTATTCGCAATGCAGACAGCTTTGCTAACTCATGAGTTACAATATATTACAGTCTAAAAAATTGGTGTAATCCAATTGTGACTACAAAGATTATATCAACAGCCCGTTCAATCAATTGGAAAGGTTGAGTTATCCTCTTTATATTTGCGCGTACCACTGATTCAAGCAGTTGAATGATCATCATGGAAATGACTAAAACTTTGCAAACCTGTATGAAGCCATATGTAAGAGCCAAAAACGGAGACAAACTATCAAGAAGACTGAATAAGAGCTCTCTGACAAAGATCCAACTCGTTATGAATTGATGACCGAAGAACAAAGGTACCTATCAGAAAGCAAAGTTGAAAGAGTTTTATGAATCTCTGACACTATCAGGTAATATCTAATATTCATCAGATTAACAAAGTTAAAGATGAAAGAATGTATCAAACACACACCCACACACACACACACACAAATGTATCAAACATAAGAACGATATATGAATAAAGTTTATATGTGTATTAATGCTTTTCTCGCAATACTATTTAACCAGAATGAGAATCTTAACACACCTCATTTCATGAATGCATTGGTTTTTATTTTTTACAGAAGTTCCACGAGCAACTCTCCCAATGGTCTCTCCAACATAAGATCCACCACACTACCCTTGAAATGATTCACACCCTTACGTAAGTTGGACCAAAGACGTATCATCAAACTACAGTATAAATAAGTAAAAAAACAACATAGTATGTTAGGGAAGAAAGAATGGACGTTGTTAGTTGCACTAAGATGACAACATTTGAAATTGGAAATTGCATCAATATTTTAACCTGTCACTATAATAATGAAAATCCAGGGAGTCTTTATATATATAGTGTAAAAATACATCTCCAAACTTTCAATCACCTTACAAAAAGTCTAAACAGCTGGATCACCTTGCCGAAAGTGTAGACAGCTGGATCGTGCATAAACTCATAGGATATGGAACTAAAATACTACATTATGAACCTATTTGTTCCCCCATATTTCCATTTTACTCATCGTTATGGCTGTTCCTTTCTATGCGTAGAAAGCCTTATGCAACTGATCATTTCGGAGCGCTCAATTCCCCAGCAAGGATACATCTCATCTTGCCAGGCTTTTTCTCAGCTCATTTTGTACGGTTCGAATCATAGAGTCAACAACAAAGCAAAGAAAGAAGAACATATATATAGTCAAAAGTCAGTGAAGTTACATTACCTTACCTCCGTTTGTTTTTCCTATTGATTTGAAGCTTTAATTAATGACTCTTTGTCTGGCCTCTTATTGTACTAAGTAAAACAAAATTATTTCTTGATAAAGTATATTAAACCGCATTCATAGAACTGCTATTTGGTTGTAGTAACATGAGTGAAGTCTACCAGAGTATTTATAGTTTCCCTTCTTTGTTCTTCGAATGTATTGGTCTGGAAAAAAATCAAAGGTGAAAGCATCAAATATTATTTTTTAATGGAATTTCAAAGTTGTAAGCTAAATCAATTAAGATGATTAGACAATGCAGACAAATATTTTCAGACAGCATCTAAATTAATATGGTTTATAGAATGCACCTTCAAGCAAAAGAGCCATGAAACATCACACAATCTATATACAAAAGTGTGATCACCACACCATCAAAGTGTGATCGTTGATTTAGAGAGCTGGAAGATAAAGACCGACCAGTTTGACATGAATAAACAACACACATATATCATCCATATTCACAATCATTTAATCTTTAGAACTCTATCAATTCACTCAAAATTTTGTGGTAATATATAATTCAGATGGGGATTAGTAAATCAGATATTTGGCTTTCAGCGAGTTGGATCTATTCGATTAGTTTCCATTGTACTTCAAACCTGTCATCGCTCTCTTAGTAAGATTGATCTGACATTATGATATTAGTATATATCATGGTGTCACTTAAAATCAATCTCCAGAAGCAAATAACTAAAGAAAGCAAATGGCCTTTTCACTAAGGCATGTTTTACCTGTTGTTGATTTATGTCGTGTTGAACGCATAGACTCTGGGAGCAGTTTATCGTTGCTTTGTTTTGAAAACCCGAATTTCTTCTTTGT